ATTACGTGAAGAAAAAGTAGACAAAGAGTTGTATTTCAAAGTTTGCTTTTTTTCGAGTTTCTGCACATCGTAGGAAAAACGTATTGATCATTTATCTGATATCATTCGGGTATTGCATGAATATGAAGAAGTTTATGGATGGAAACGACCAACGACGGAAACTATGGTTGGTCGATTGTTAGCATTAGATCTTACACAAGTTGATCAGTATACATTGACAAAAGAAGCGATCGAACTTGTCGATAAGGAATTTACCGAAGTAAAACGCGATTTTGTCGAGAATATTTCATTGCAAATCGGTTTCCTTTTCACAGATCAGTGAACAAGTACGTAAAGCCGAAGCTTGTTTTGAAGAATCACACAAACAGTTAACAGCACTGATGCGAAAGCATCAATCATTAGTACCCAATGCTAAAGCCATAGCAGTAACTAAGAGTAAACAATGTCGCTTGTCAAAATTACCCGATGTAAGTTTTTCCAGTCGCTCAATGCAAACACGAACGAGTTTTTCTTGTTTAGCTTGTTGCAGAAGTTGATCGTTATACGGAACATGCCATGGAGAAACTAACGAGTGATATTTTGAAAGCACGTGAACGTATTCAATTAATCCTTACTAAATTGTCCGTCGGTGATGTAACAAACGATTCGAAATATGCTGTTTTGTATACAAGTACTTCGAAATGACTTGTATTGGTGAATTTATCTTCGGAATGTTTTCAGATGATTTTACGGAGGATGTGTATTTCATGCATGAAGAACTTGCTCAAGAATTAGAAGCTCAATATGAAGTTAATCGAACGATGTATGAACAAATCGAAGCATGGAATGAATTGTTCGCTGAATTTCAGGAATTCGAAGTAGGTAAAACTTATTTTCTAACGAACTGAGCCGTGTTTTCGTTTTAGAAAAATGCCAGCGATCCCCAACGTTTTCATCGACGAGGTTATAGTGCACTCGCTGAAGATAAAACTCGTAAGAAATTGGAAGCTTCCTTACGTGATTGTGAATTACGTATTCGACATCTTGCTGATGAATACCAAGAGAAAAATCACGGACAAGTGTTTATTATGAATGCGAATGGAAAGGAAATCTCGGATTATATCGCACAAAGAAAAGAAGATTATGCAAAAGCGAAAGAACGAGAACGTGAAGTAGCAAAAGTAAAGATCAATTTCGATTGATTTCCCCGTAAATATACGTATATCCTCTAGGCTGGGCAAACAACTTCAACTGGCACCATCGTTGGACGAACACCCTTAAAAACGAAACAACTCGTCGGCGCCACACCAAGCGCAACAATAAAACGTGTACGAAAATTTGACTTTAACTTCATCATTCAATCCGATAAGAATGATTTGCTTTAGACTGATCCCAATCCAAATTTACGAACACCGCTAGCTACTGCTCGTCGTGTTGGTTTACCGACTGGTAAAACTCCATTGAACAACTCTACATTTAAAACACGAGCACAAGCTAAACAAGCGCAAACGACCAAACGTGTGAATATGGATGCAACATCATCCACACTCACTACGCCTGTAAAACAACGTCGTCTTCTCGATCAAATTGCGAATACAACTGAAAATACATCCACACATAGTATAAATGCAGGAAATACGACAACAGGATTGAAATCATCAATGATGGTACGATCGTCTTTACCTTGTTTAGTCATTTTATGAATTCTTCTTGTGTTCCGTTTAGACAACACCTTCAGGAAAACGAACTTTAGTCAAACGAGGTATTCCTACACCAGTTCGAACACACAAATGACAAAAAATCGAATGAGATATGTAGATAACATGATTGATTATCGTTGTTTGTTTGTTTTCTTTCTTTTTATATGTACAGTTGACAATAATTGAAAAGTGATTTGATCATTCTATCTAATACAAAGAATGACAGCATATCCTTATGATTAATAATGCAAAAGCGATCGTAATTGATAGACTAAGTTGAAAGCATTATATGCGTGACGGATAAATTTCTGTTTTCCAATTAGTAAAGATGACAGGATCAAGTTTTTATCCCACCTGTCTGTCTGTCTACTGTGAGAAAATCTGAACGTTATTTTTTGAATCGTTCGTACGCACAACGTGTCGTTTTGATTAGTACTTGCAATTTCTCTAATCTTCTAGGAAAAGAAACAAAATTGACAAAGAAGATTAACTATGAATTTGCAACAATCATTGCAGGTGACCTTTTTCCATAACTAGGTTTTCTAAGAACTCTTCAGATTATACTATCAGTCTTCGTGCAAGTTATTGAGGAATGGCATGTTTGCTTAAATAAGAGAGACATGTGGAAAACGTCTTTATTCAAAGCAAAACAATAAGAAAATGCCAAATTTTAATTATATATCGTGTTTAAACATTAGATAAAAAATACATATCTTTAATTTAATCAAGAATGGAAGGAACGAATATTGTTTGAAGACTGATACCATCATTTTTTACTTCGTTAGATCAGATCCAAAATGTTATATCATTCGTCGCTTCGGTTAATCGTGTTCGATCCAACAATTGCAATACTTCTATCTGTTTTGTAGTGATAAACTTGAAATATGTTTCTAATACAATCGATCGAGTAGCGACTAATATCAGTAGATATCGATGATATTGAACATGCAGTTCTAACTAATTGAGAACAAAGTATTCGTTGAGAAAGTGAATCAATAAGAACTGGTGAAAACCAAATTTCTTTGCGTTGAAAAAGAAAAAGATACATAGATCAGTATGTGAAGAAGCATCACACTTACTAAATTCTTCATTTGATTCATTCAAAATCTGTGATATGGCAAACCATTGTTAACATCACATAGGACCTATACTTTGCAAAGACGATTTGATCATTACTATTTATGGGAACTATCTTGATCAGTGATGGGTATTTCATTGATGATGAAGTTGATTGATATGTAGTCAAGTTTTCACTTTCGGAAATTTTCCTATAAATTCGAATTGATAGATTGTTACCAGATCGATTATTTAAACTTACTCTTCTCCTTTCCAGTAAAATGCCATCATTGAATTCATAAGTTGACCGTCGTTATCAAACGGATAAATCTGTGCATAAAAATAACTTCCCATTGACAACTTTTTTTCATATTTTCTAATCCTACTGAATCTTCTTCATGTGTCTGATCATCAACAGACTTTACCATTAGACAGTGAATCGAAAAATCATTAATACAAACGTATACGCGAACGTGAAACATTTTCTTTCCAGCAATTCAAATCAACAGGGAAAACGTTCACAGTATTTTCAGATAAATTGTATTCCATAATTACAGAACGATTTCATGCATTAATGGTTTTATTGTAAGTAACCAAAGCCGATTTTTACTCAAATATTCACGAGAAATTTGCAGATCATCGAGCGAATTTCAAGATTTACTAAAATATCAACCGAATTACACAAAACCCATCAACAGTTCCTTCAAATCTTAAGGGTGTTTTTTCAATAGACAATAAACAAATCCAATCAATCGCTTATGATATCAACCAATAAGTATTCTTTTCGTCAATATATCTCGTAAATTAAAATATTTATTTTTTTCTACAATCTCTTCCTGCACGAATGTAATTATGATACAAATATAGACATTATTAATAAGATATTACCAATAATAAATAAATCAGACTCTGTTTGACATCTCTTTTTCTTTTTCTTTTCTTACAAAACTTCCTGACTAGTCTTAAGACAAATGCACAACGATGCATATAAATTGAACGATACAATCATTCATCTGGATGTTTTTCAATTAGAATGTTCCTGATTACAAATATTTTCCGCTGTATTTAATCTCTGATATGTCTGGTGAAGATCTTCAACAATTTCATTCTGAACGATTGATTAGACAAAATGTTCCAGACAAGAAAAAATGCCAATCTTGGTTTTCATTTTCAATATACAATCAACATCTCATATTAATTAAATCATAAACTGGCTTCAACTAAGTGCATCTTTTCTTGAAAATCTCAGGAGATAAACACAGTTCAGAGTTCAATGTGCGTGTTTAAATGAAGTACGAAGAATTTCTTATATTTATAGTTCGACATTATTATTTACGCATTTCATTAATATTTTATCAATGAAATCGAGACCTATTGAATTATTTGTTGAAAGGGCAAAATTTTCTTCTTCTAAATATAGTCTCTATACGTCTTTTAATGGAACTTCTTCGAATATATTTAGAATACGTTATTTGAATAGACGTTTCTGTTTTTGGATGGATTAGTCTTACATACCTGGTTTTATAAATTATCATCCTGACAATCCACGGGACTTTTCAGACATAAAATCTATTTATAAGTGCATCTACCAGTCATCTCGATCTTAAATCTGGTGAATAGTTTCTATGTCAAACATCGATATGGATATATTCGTTATACTCAACATATCATAATTGATGTTTTCTACGAATGGATGATTGTTGTCATAATGGAAAGATATTCATTTATTTTCGTTAATGAACATGATCGTACTTTCTTTTTTTGTGCAAATCAAGGTATTTGTCTTGTTGAAAAGTAGGCGATTACGTCGATGAGTATTAATAGAACGAATGCGACAAAGAAAAGTAATAGATGAAGAATAAGAATAATTAAGTTAACCCTCGTTTTTCTTTGTTAATCAGACACAATACGTCAGATAACCGACTTTCTCTTTTAATACTGGAGAACACACCTTCTAATTATTCGTTGTAAAGCATCACGCACAGATTTTGTGGAAATTAAAAGAAAAGAAAAGGAGAAGAAGAAGAAGAAGAGAGAGAGAAAAGGGAAAAGTCTTTCTTCTTTAATTCAACGAGTCATACAAAAGAAAGTTCGTTTATTTTTCTATTCTCAAAGACAAAACCCAGCTAAGCTATCTGTTTAAAATAAGATCTTTCCTTTTGTCTCAATTTTCCCCATTGAAATCTGACTAGTCCGATTTCTTTATCTTTAGATTCAATTATTAAACTCTTAAAAGAAAAAAAAGCAAAAGCGACAGAAAAAAAAATGTTTAATTCGTCAACATCATCGCTCTCAGTTGTACGTCATCTACTTTCTGTAAGTGTTTTGTATCTTCATTTAGATTTTAATGAGCTTGCGTCAATATCAAGTATTTTCTTGAAGTCTGACCGTCATTTTCTCCTACGAGTACAACATATAGTTGAACTTAAGAAAAGTTTACACTGAGGTTTTCTAGTTGATTTTTGATCGAGGGTTTATCGTATTTTCTTTGTTTCGATGTGCGGAAAGAGAAAAACGTAAATCTTTACTGTTTTTTATTTCTGACATTTTCAATTGACATAGCGGCAGAAAGTTCATTATTGAGAAATATACTAAATACAATATAATGGAAAGTTCCGGCAGTGGAATGAACAAAAAACAAAACGAAGGAACAGGAAGAAAGACTCGAGAAACGAGGAATTCATCGAATTTCTTATTATCACTTGTCAAAATGACGAAGAGAATAAGACCGAGAAAATCTCGGTTCAATCACTGTTCGATCGAGTAGAGACTCAATGGCGTTTTTCTTTTCTTTTCTTTCCATCGACATTCATCATTTCCTGTCGTGCTTCTTCACATTTAACTGATATCAATGTATATTTATAGGAAAGTAATCCTTCACCATCAACGATTTGGATCGTTAATGAACGAAATTCGACATTGATCAATTCTGACACAACTCAAACATCTATTCGAATCATGTGGTATCGTTTCTTACTCGTTATTAGTAAGTATATCATTGATTCCAAAAAGAAAAATCAAACTATGTAAACAATGTGCTAATCGAATTACGAATCGACAAGTTGAACTGATCGGAAATGCACTTAACAAAAGACGTGACATTAATATGAAAAACTTTATTATTTGCTTTTCTTTTAGTTATCTTCATCACTGCCGCCGGCAACTTACTCGTCTGTCTCGCCATCGCTCGTGAACGAAAATTACAAAACACAACTAATTATTTCCTTATGTCATTAGCTATAGCCGATTGTCTCGTCGCTATTCTTGTCATGCCAATAGGAATGATCTCGGAAGTGTTAGGATATTTTCCATTACCACACTATGCCTGTGTGATTTTCGCTACGATCGATGTTCTATGTTGTACATCGTCCATATGGCACATGAGTACAATGTCAATGGATCGATATTTTACTATTCGTTTTCCGTTTCGTTACGGAAGAAATAAGACTCGGCGAATTATGCTATTGAAAATCATTGCTGTCTGGGCGATAAGTGCGGCCGTGTCGTCTCCGGTGTTTGTTTTGGGTATTGTCGATAAAACTAATGTTTTATCCGACGGTGTATGTGCACCAACGAATCCATCGTTTAAAATTTATGGGTCGATTTTTGCTTTCTATATTCCGTTCTTAATCATGATTACAACTTATGCGTTGACAATGCGTTCGTTAAGAAATGTTTTAGTTAACAAAAAGAAATACGATCGTGAACGACGACGAAAACAAACATTCCGACCATTAGCACAAATTATAAATCAATACGCTGAAATTGCTCAAGGTATTCGACGGACATCATCAACAAAAAAGTCTTCCGTCCCACCGATCGCAACAACATCACCAAATTCGATTTTAAACAAAACACCTTTCACCATCGTAACTTCAACATCACCAACCGACTCTCGTGCGCAATTCTTCTCTCCAAACCAATCCAACGGAAACTTACAACAGGACGAACATCCAACAAATCCCATCAATGAACATCATAATTCTCAACATTTGTCAATTAGTTACTTGAAACATACGGGGAGCAAAAAACGACGTTATCAACAGCAACAACAACCAGCGTTGTCATTAAATCCAACGAAAAACAGCGCTGATATGAGTACAGTTTACGAAATAACGGAAAATTCTAAATCAACATCAAGTTCCTACGATGTGTCAGCGATTGTTGCCAATCTTAACAAGAGAAGATCTTTAGTCGCTAGTGAATTACAAGTTATCGAACAGGATAAACCAATACGAACGGTAATCACTCCGATTCCTTGTGAAATCAATGAAAACGCACCTGTGGATGAAGAAGAGTCCAGTTCCACATTGGACATCGACAACCGAAGTAAGTACATAGATTTCAAAGAATTTGATTGAGAGAGAAAGTCACGAATGTGTTGTTTCATTTCTTGATAATGTCACCCTCTCGACAGTATTTTATCAGAAGGCACAGGTTGACCGATTCTTGTTAATTAGTATCTATTCATTTTTAATCGAAACAAAAGAGGATTTCTTCTATCATTGTTAACGTAAATCATATTTAATTAGCGTACATCCGTCTTCCTATTGATGTCAAGACAAATCTATTTACTATTTCTGTCAACTAGAACAGATTTTTCCAGGAATGACCTGAGATATTTTTAGTTTAGTCAGTCGACATGTCTATGAGATTTGGAAGATTAACTTTTTTTGTTTTAATTCAATTAAGATCAGACACACAACACTCTCTATGTGCAAATCGCATCGGCATCTCAACATTCGTCATTGTCATGTTCGAATGAATCGATCCTATTAACAATTCCATGGAAATATTGCATGGAAATCATTGAATTCATTCGTCAATATTATATTTTCTTTTTTCCTTATCGATTAAATCCACTTCCTATTGAAGATTCATTGAAATTTCATCAATCAACATCAACACCATTAATATATATTAGATCGATTCGACAACATCGTCATGCTTCCACGCAAACCAATTCTCCCACTGAAGTCAACATTCCAGTGAATGATTACGCACCAGCTCCGTCGAAACGTCGATTATTTCCATTCAATCGTCAACTTCTATCGAATTCCACATTGATATTAGCCAGTCTCTTTCGTCAATCTCCGGTGACACGTGTTCGTCTAAGTGAAAGTTCAACGAAATCAACTGTTCTATTTGCTCAACGTTTTTCTGCAACTTCCTCATCTACTCAACCGCGTTATCATCCATATTCTTCCAGTTTTCGTCGTCGTCGTCCATTGGAATCAGAATTAGAATCAACGGTGCCCTTCGAACATCGTCCACGAGCTTCAACAGCTTCATCTTGTCTTGCGCCAACAACGAATCGACAACGAAGTTATACCACAAGTCATTATTACAAACCATTACGACACCATTACCAATCTCAATCAGCTTATGTTATCGCAAATTCTCCGAAATCGTTTCATCAATTAAGTTCGACAACAACGAATACAAATTCTTCGGATTCATCATCGGTTATGTATCGTTATCAATCAAAATTTTTAACCACAGTTTCCAATCACCAACAACATCATCATCATCGCGTGAGAGTTGAAGATATTGTTGCTGCCAATGAACGCAAAGCTCTTCGAGTTCTAATGATTATCTTCTGTGTTTTCATTACCTTGTGGACACCGTTTTTTATCTGTACATTTATCTCCGCTGTGTGCGAAGAGTGTCGGAAGAATTTGTCGGCGAATGTCTGGTTTTACATTACATGGCTCGGTTATAGTTCATCAATGGCAAATCCATTTATATACACAATCTTCAGCGATGTTTTCCGACGTGCATTTTTGAACATAATCTTTTGCCGAAGCAATGAACTACTCATCTCCAGACAATTGTCAACGAAATCTTCGTATCCGAAAGGTGGAAATCATCATCATAAAAACGATCGTATATCGAATCGACGACACTTGACTCATGATGTGTCGGGAACGTCGACACCGATACCTTTTCATTATCCGGCGATCATCGGGGGAAGTGATGCAACGATTTATGTGAATCGATGTACTTCAGATACACTTCGGTGATGACAGAAAAACAGATTTCATTAAATGTTGTTGTTGTTGTTGTTTCTTTCTTTTTCTGTTAAGAAAGTTATGTTTATTTGTAAATCTTATTCGGTTTTTCATTCAAGCTGAATTTAAAAAATACATCGAAAGGAATTTGATTAGGTAATTCTGCTCTTCATTATTATGGGATTTACAAAAATAGAACAATAGCATTCTACTCATCTTCGCATTTCTCCGTGAGTGACGTGCGACACGTATTTTTACAAGTAGGTTCCGTAGGAATACTCAGATATAATTATGGTTCATCGGGAAAAGTTCCTCCAGAAGACATTGCATAAAGTACTTGCCTACAAACTCGGAAAATTCTTGTTTGATGTTACGCAGACACAATTATAATTTTAATTAAAGTCTAGGTGGAATTTGCATTGATTTCTGGAGTTTCCGTCTGTATGGTGAAAAGGTGCACTGAGTCGAAAAATATCGACAGATCCTGCGTCGGAGTGCAAATTAACAATAAATTAATTTTGCAATTTTGAACGTGTCGTTTTTTCCATCTGATTACGGATTGAATGCGATCTATGATACAGATTTTTTTTGGCACTATATAAACCAATAGAATAAGGACATCTATCACTTGTACGCACTTTCTATGAGTGCGTTTGTTAAAGTTTGAAAGAAGCAAAGGTGACGACAGAAAAGTCAAAACACACTATATGATTACTGTCGACGTGGCGCTGAATATTACTACTTAAGCAAGTTGTTATTTATAGATACAACTGATGTGAAAAAATTCGCGATCATTTACGAAAAAATGTTTTCTTGGTTTCGCCAAGGTCCGAATACTGATGCTGATCCTAAACAGCATTTAATGGGTTCAGCAGAGAATGCACTAATGCAAGCTTCTCATCGATTTCAAGGATACATGAAATTCGGAGAAGTTCTACATCTTCAAGGTCCATGGATTTCTGTGGATATGTTGTCCAGAGCAATTTGTCATTTACAGCGTCGTCATCCAATTTTACGCACTCGTCTTCGAATGGTGTCGGATAAATCGGATAGTTTTTTTCTTGAAGAAGATGAAACCGTTCGATTGAAAATTCGCGACATAGCACGAAAACGTACTGATTGTCAGACTTTTTGGCGTGACGAATGGCGACAACGAGAAAGAGATACAACGGCTGTTGGCGAGGGACTAGTCGAATTTTGGCTTCTTCAGGTACGAAATCAATGAAGTCAGCTTTTGTAGTTCTCTTTCATTCAAGGATCCGGAAGATATCAAGAATAACAACAGTCCACAAGAAATTATGGTAATTTCTGAACACGCTGTGAGCGATGGTTTATCTCTTAGCAATCTGGCACATGAACTTCTCATAGCTCTATCTGATGAAAATGAAGACCTATTCAAAAACTCATTAGATTGGCCCATAACAATGGAAACAGCCATACAAAATAGTCTTACAATGTTAGGTCGAGTGATGGCACTCACTCGATTTATTTTCTCAGCAGTTTATTTACGTTCAACAAATCGATTACCGACTGCAAGAGTACCTCTAGCATCTATCGAATTCCCATTAACTGATTTGATCAATCATTCTCATACTGAAGCTTCTTACCTTATATTAAACAAAGAAGACACTCAGGTACTACTCTCAAAATGTCGTCAACAAAATGTGACAGTTACTTCAGCAGTCAGCGCTGCAATCTTATGTGTTCTCTCAACATTTGTCAAATCTGATGCCAATCAACCTACACTTTTGAATTTTTCTATTGGAGCTGATACTCGTCGACGATGTACACCGCCTATTCCAAATCATGATCTCCGTTATCATGTCTCAGGTTTAATGTCATTTACAATACCAACAAATGATATTCCCACGACAACTGAAAATATTTGGCAACTAGCGAGAAATTTTGGGGAGCATATGAAGTCATGTGTTGATGCTGGTCAAATCCTTGCTCTCGGTTTGATCATGGGAAAACTGTATCAGAAAACGTTAGGCGAACCAAATCTCAATGAACTTCCAACTTGTGGTGTATCCAGTTGGGGAATTCTACCCTTCAAAGAAGAATATGGACAATGGAAGTTCTTGGGTATGACTCCATTTGTTAATATGATTCGTGCAGTGATGCCATTTACTACTATTCAAACTGTAAATGGAGTTTTAACTGTAATGTATGTTGGAACTGATCCTGTGATTTCAAAAACGGTTTTAGAAGGTCTTCGCGAGAGCACAATGAACAAATTGCAACAGATGATTCATGATTGACTTTCTTCTCAGTTCATTTTTCTGAAAAATATTTATTTTCATAAAAACAAATTGTGCAAAAATACACACCGAATCGACCGGTTACGTGTTACGACTGAGGTATTGTATTGGCTATACGATTAATCGGCACATTTCGTGTTACCAATGATGTACGTTCACTATTTCGTTGGAATAACCGTCGACATTCCTTTCGAAAGTTCCGTGATGTACAAAAATAGACATAGAACGTTGAAGCACTATTGATATAAATAAGAAACGAATAAGCCATATAAGTAATAAATGATTCGATCTGAAGACGTAACGTTGTTTTTGCAAGATTCGACGTTACGGTTAAATAAAGTGTTTGAATCGGATATGGCGTTGTTGAGAAAATATAAACAATTACTTCCCATAGTAACATAATCATCAGACTATAATCTCTTCGACGGATACGTATATATGTAACATCATCATTTGTTCGAACTCGATTATGGATTAAACGTAAGTTACGCATTGTTTTTAATCCAAAGATGATCATCAGTGTTGGAGGAAGAGTGCCAGCAACAAGAAAAGAATAAATACTGTAAACGAAACTGTACGTACCAAAAGTACTGCATCGTCCTGATTGAATTGTTAATAAAATTGGAATATGTAAAGATATGATCGGCCATGTTATGATCACACAGACAATAACACGAACTGCTACTTTTATTTGACAATATGATCGAATGTATAGAGATGTACAACTCAAAGCACAACGATCTAGACAAGCGAAAACTACCAAAGATCGACTAATCATCAGAGCTGAATGTAGAAGATACAAACGTAATTTACAAAATGCTAACAGATACAATTCCGGATTGGGATGATCAAGAGAATAGAGTGTTGGAATCATTCCATAATTAATAATAAAGATGTTAATAAATGAAGCGATGAGAAGATAACGCGAACAAGAATTTTTTCGATATTCTTTTCGATAAAAAACAAATACATTAATGATATTACCAATATTTCCAAAGACTAAATAAGTGCTCATTCCATAACGGGTCAGACCTGTTTGTATGTCAGCTAGAAACGACATTTCTTCAAAATGATACAACGCATGTGTTTTCTGCTAATAAATAATTATACGAGAAGATAGATGGAGTCTTTCGTTTGAGAGTATTTTCCTTAAGCTAATTAGAAAATGTGCATTATTATTAATGAGATGAAATTTTTACATATGAGCACGCAAGTTTAACTTCGAAAATATAGTAATACATACTTTCTTCAGGTTAACTTTTCATTTCGAGATACACTATTCTTGATTCTGAATCAGTAGCCAAGATTGAAAGTGATAGGATGAAACTCAATCCTTTTCTTGAAACGTCTGAATTTTAGAAGTTTATGGGAAGAATTTTTCTCTACGATTAACAATTTAAACAAAACAAGACGTGCTATTAGCCTAACATTACTCGATTTTGTCATGATCATAGATTCTTCCGTTCATGCATACGGTGAATCAAAATCTAAGAAGAGTTTCGCTAAAATTTCCGGAAGATAAAAATACCTTTGATCATTGAGACGATATCTTCTATTACAACTAATTAATTATGGAAACAAAACACAGACTAATCAAGAGTGTATTACTAGCAGCAAGTTTCATACAATTGCGACGATGTTTAACGAAAGATTTGCGTATGTTAATTACATTATACTTTCATTTATTTTTTCTTCTGGAGAATTACCTCAATCCTAAAAAGGTGCACATCAGATGAGACAAACTCATGTAAGAGAATACAGGATCAAAGTACAGGTTACTGGAAGGGCAAAACCCAAAATATTTCATAAGGTTACCAGAACAATTCTATTCTGATCCTTGAATAAATGAGAAGGTGTTTTAGTCTCAACAGACTTTCATAGATCATGAAAATATTCAGAGGTGTACAAAGAAATCGAAAATTATGCGACATATCTTTCATGGTAATTGACATAATCTATTCGTTCGCGATCTTCGCTCTTTAGGAATATGTACTCAGACGAAGATTTATGTCACACGGCGCATCTTAATGCCTTCTTACTGTTTGAGATGCTAAAAAAACGTTTTCATTATCTTTAGTGATGAGGGATAATGCAGAAGCTCATTCTCTCTCTCCAAGACAGAATTTTCGTTCTGCTACTTCAATAAAATAAATACGGCTTAAAATTCGAAACGGGTTAAATACTGGATTAACACATTTTTTGTGAATACTGTAATAGAATGACCTCTATCGAAATTTTCTCGCTCGGGGTAAAAACCTGACTTGACTTTAAAGACGATCTTTCTTCTGATAGATTGATTACTATTTCTCTCGATTTCAGAAGCACGTTGCTTGCTTGAATCCATCGTATTTAGTTTGGCCACATTACGTACGGATAAAGTTAAGTCACATCCGGACAAAGCATGTATAAGAAGAAGTTCGAAAGGATCAATGCCATCGTACGTCATTTGAAGCTCTTGCACGATCTGAAGACAATTGATGTACGTATTCGTTTTCGCTGCTTGCTTGAAGGAGTGAATGTGAAGAGATGAAAGGCCGATTGATGCACCTTTCGCAATGGCAAGTAATGTGACATCCATATCAATCGTCTAACTGACTACATGACGACAATCATCTACCAACAGGACGTTTGCATGCAGCAACAGTCATGTGTCAGCTTCGACATGGTTACATTCGAGGAGGTAATCGTTCACCAACGCAAGTCCTTCTTCGATTCTTTTGTCAATGTATTAGGCCCCGCAGTTGTCAATACTTTGTCGTCTGGTAATCGGCTGCTTTGTTTCGATCAGCATTTTCGTACGGTGCAGGTCAATGTTGCATGATTCGAATGCACGCATTTGTGGAGTGATGGATCGAGAATGTTGTGTTCTTCTAGACCGTAATCGAGATGTTTGCCATCAATGGCGGGCCTTTCAATGAATTGCTTCACTTCGTTGCTCGATGGAGAATCAAACACAATGTTGATTCGTGAAGAGACATCGAATAACCATAAAATTTTCGTTCTCAACACTTGTATTGCACATTGCAGAACTGTGCAGTTGCATGATTAAGGCTTTGTTTCAAGTAGGCTTCCACTACCGATAATGAGTGCTCTACAAAAAGAAGTGGACGAGAGTTTTCATCGACAAAAACATACATGTTGGGCATCTTCATCGGACATGTTGAAGAGAATGTGGCAGGAAATCATTCTTTCAGAAAGATGATCGCCGACGCTTTGTGATCTTGAATGAGCAGCCGTATGTCTTTCTATTTGCAAAGAGACAGTGGTGCCGGAGAAATCGTTTAATAATCGTAGGTCAACTAGAAGAATTTTTTAATTTTAATTTTTTTATATTTAATACAGAAGAGAGAAAGAAAAAGAAAAGAATAAATAAATATAAAGAAAAAAAGAGACAAGAAGGAGAAAAATAATAATTTAATAAATAAATATATCGATATATAGAAGAGGTCACTTGATCACCAATAGACCAAAGAATGAATCAATGGACTTTGATAAGGGTAATGGAATATATTAGGATTCTGTTGAAAGACGCCCATACAGCAATATCAAACCTACCATTACCATCAAAATCCGTCCATCTGAAGAAAGGACAAACTACTCCTAGTCGAGTTCGATCAATTTGTTTGTCTTTACATAGGAACATTGGCAAATCATCGTACATTCCATTGCATAGAGATTTGAAGAATTGAATTTCTTGACAACATGATCTATCAATTACTAGTTGAAGGCCGAGAAATAAAATATCGTAGATCGAATGGTACGCGTTTTTCCATTCGCTGTCGTCCGAAAATAATGGTCAAAACATAGAGAATGATAATCGCTACAGTTGGATAGACATTTGCATCGAAAATCAATCCATGACTGGATTATCTGAATGAGAAAACAGAGACTAGTGTTGAATGGAGAAGAACTAATCGTTGAACCTCTATTCTTTGGTAATCCATCAAATAGATTCATGGGCAATCGATCGATTGAAATACGCACTTGTCCAACACGAAGACAAGAACGAAAGATATCCATTCGATGTTTGTTTGTCCTTTCACTGTAACAGCAGCGAAAGGAACGAAAAGAAATTGTTTTTTTTTCATGTTTTATTTGGATGAAAACTCGGAAAGATGACAAAGCAAAAAAGAAATGTTCATCGTTCTTCTTCTTCTCGATTGCTTCTTTTTATTCAACGAAATAAACTAAAGCGTTGCCAATATCTTGTTGCTCTGAAACGACTGTTTCATACTTCAGATCCACTTGTAAAACTTGTTGTTTATTGGTTAATTCCACCAAATCTTCTAAGGGTGTGTCCATGCTTGGTAATTTTCTCGAATGAAATTGCCAAATTCGAAAATAAAACAAACGAATCGTTTTGCTGAACCGTAAAGTTCGATCAGCATGACGTCGTAAGCGTTGCTCCAATTTCTCCACGGTATCACCATTGATCACCGGAATAGTCCATTCAAAATGACCAGAATAAGGTTGTCGATTAATCAAACGAATGGAAATCATTGGTTCATGTCGAAAATGAATCAATGGCTTTCCAGGTAAAATCTCTTCCAGATTGGGAATACTCGCTGCTTCAATTTCATTTTCATCAATCAAACGGATGTCCACTTGTTCGATATTCAACGTTCGTCGAAAATAATCTTCATTGTTTGATAAAACTTCATCCCAGGTCGAACAATCCCATACTCGGATCCCATATAGGATTTTATCAGATCCTACAGGAATTCGACGGATCCGATGAAATCCGGGTGACGGAATCGCATTGGATTCCGACGGTCTCGGATCCGATCGGATCCCATGTCGGATCCGAAACATAAATTTCCTGGATTTTCTAAGGGTCATCATAGAACATAGCAAAAAAGATCGCTCATAAAATTTGCAACAACCGACGGGATTTTTCTAGTCGGATTCCAGTGGAATTCCGTTTCCAGGAATCCCATCGGATTTTGTCGGATCCGGTGAGATCCGATCGATTCCAGCATCGGATTTGTTGACCTGGGATATTCATCAAAAGATAAATGACGATCCAATGCTTGAATATCTCTTGTCTTTTCCAATAGATCTCGAGAATAGATGACAAATGATATCAATTTCTTCATGTACTTCTTGTCGATTTCTGGTCGATCTTTGAACGTCAGGAACTTGTCGATTGTTGTTCAAATATAATTCTTTCAATTGATTAAGAACAAATATTTGCCACGATGGATATGAACGCGCAATGAAGATCGTTGCATGTGTTGGGTGTAGCGGAGGTTGAACAGGCACTCCTTTGGATTTATTCCCCGATTGTTGAGTTTTATAAGCAGTTAAACGAAGACGAAAGTCATGAGCGCTGTCAAGAATATGATTTTGAAAATCGATCAGTTTTTGATCGATTTTTCCTCCTTGTGGCCATTTGGCATTCATAATTGTTGTTTGTGGATGAATCAATTGGTAGATATAATCACAAATATGTGGACAAATCGGTGCTAAGAGAAGAACTTGAACGTTGATGAATCGTTTGATCAATCGTAAATTCATTTGTTCACTTTCTGAACACAATTCACGATAGTTGTCACGAGCCGTTTGTAATTCGNAATCGATCAGTTTTTGATCGATTTTTCCTCCTTGTGGCCATTTGGCATTCATAATTGTTGTTTGTGGATGAATCAATTGGTAGATATAATCACAAATATGTGGACAAATCGGTGCTAAGAGAAGAACTTGAACGTTGATCAATCGTTTGATCAATCGTAAATTCATTTGTTCACTTTCTGAACACAATTCACGATAGTTGTCACGAGCCGTTTGTAATTCGAAGAAACCATATTTCAATACATCTTTGTAGAGCATCTTTTCATAACTTTCTTCAGTCAATTGGATGGCTCGATTGATTTCTGATTGGAAAACTTGATCATAATAATTGTAATTCGAGTCAAGACGGTAAGTTTTCTTCTGTTCTTCACTAAATTCTTCTTCGTTCTGTTCATCATCATTGGAAGATAAATGAAGTTGATCATTTAACCGATGTACGACGGATGAAACAAAACTTGGATTGTTTTCGGTGGAATGCTGCTGCTGCTGTTGTTGTAGCAGTTCATTAAGATCGGTTGTTTTGATATTCAATGTTTCTTTGACCCATTCAACAAATGTATAGAGACGTAATAATTGTGCTTCAGCTGTGACTGTATCAAAATTGGCGTCTTCAAGCGAATCACCAGCATCAGCCAAGGAAAAACGCATACCTACAAGTTTAGTCTACAAATGAAATCATCTTTTTTTTATAAAATTCGAATACGACGAACCATCAGCAGAGAATTTCTCAACTGCTTGAGCCAAAGTCAAAAAATTGCCTGTCGATTTAGACATTTTTTCACCGTTCAATAATAAATGACCATTGAGTCGAAAAGCACGTGGCCACATATGTGGCTGATTAGGCCAGATTGTTTCGTGGTGATACAATGTGTAAGTCATATGATTTGAAATAAGATCCTTTCCACTGACGTGCAAATCCACTGGATACCAGTATTGAAATTCCTTCCTTAAACGATCGAGTGTGGCTCGAGGAATGTCTGTTGACAATGTTGAAAAAGATTTGTCAAGAAAGAAGATATAATCCCACACTTCATTGGTCAACTGTGATGGAAGAATATTGGCTGGTCCTAGAGATTAACAAGCAACAAAATCAACTCAATGATTAGTCTTACGACAAGATAGGCATAGAAGAAAGACAATAATAACAATAACATACCTAATTGTTCTCCATCGTATGAATCACGTGCTTGAAGAAAATGAACAATCGTATAATAAGCCATGTAGATAGTCGAATCGGACAACGATTCAATCAGATATTTTTCATCCCACGGCAATTTCGTACCAAGACCATATGAACGCGAACAAGCATGTTCATGCAACCAATCTAATGTTACTTCGAACTGTTTTCGTGCTTCATCATGATAAAGATTCATTGGTTCTAAAGCACGTCTGACTTCTTGCTTCCATCTTTCATTCCCATAATCCAAAAACCATTGATCGACCAAAGCAACAACACATTCATCATTCGAACGAGAGATAACCTGAATAAAAAATATGGCTTTTGTTTCATTCTATTTCATTCGAAATCAGATAGGAATTCCAACCTTCTTTTCAGGCTCATAATAAATACAAGCTTGACCATCGTTGATTAATTCATCACGAATGAGCTTCTTAGCATCATATACTTTAGTATTGGTGTACTTGCCGACAACAATTATTCCATCATAGAATGATTTCAAATAGATTTCTTCTTTGGCTTGTTGTAATTTGTCACGATCATTTTGTGATTGAATTTTCAATTGTGCACAGACTGTTGGTGCAGAAAGACGACCATACGGTTGGAGTTCAATGATCGGCACAGGATCGAATGGAATGATCATTGGTTCTTTGATGCCGAATTTCTCACGTAGATTAACCTATCATATTATTAGAAGAAGAGTTTCTTCGATGAGAATCATTTGCTTTTTCTCAACTGACCTTATTCTTGATGTCCATGAGAGCAGCAAAGTCGTCCGGTGAATCACTAGGTACAGATGTGACTATACCTGTACCTTTGTCATCTTTGATAGTCATCATTGGTAATGTGTAGATGGTTTCGTAGTATGATAATGGTGCATACAATGGTAATCCGAATAATTCTGAGCCAAGAAATTCAGCCAAAGCAATATAATGACCATAGACATCAGTGAATTCTTGATAAGCCATATTTCGAGCAGCACGTGGTGTCGAAATGAAAATGTCATGTGAACGTGTTACAAAGGCTACATAACGAATATCGGGATGCAACCAACAATTCGTCTGACCATACATTGTTTCTGGTCGAAGTGTTGCTGCTGCTAAAAAAACACCATTGATCGATGCTGTGATATGGGGAAGAAGTTTTGCCGGAATATGATCGTTATGAATGCGAAGTTTGATTAAAGTATATTCTTGTGGACCAACACCTTCGCCACTACTTCGATCATGATCCATACATGGTTGACCATCTTTCGGTGAATAGATTGTATGTCTACAAAATAAGCATTTGTTTGAGCAATTCCAATGAAAACAATCTCTTACCGTTTACCAAATTGAATTTTGCCATTTTCTTTCAAATGATGGAATTGCCAGCGTACAAATGAATCGTAGAATGGATTGACATCTGTAGTAATAAATGCACGGCGCCAATCAGCCTTTTCATTTCGTTTCAAACATCCCAATGAGAATAATTCTGATGGAGAAATCAATCAAATACTCACTTTCAAGCCCATCATTTCTAGATCTTGTTTAGCACGTGGTGGAAAATACCTTAGCCAATGTTGTGGATCGACAAATTTATGAATTTCAGCATCACTTTCAACACCCAAATTCTTCATGATTTGCCATTGATATTTTACACCACCACTCTTTGCTGCTGCTTTACTCTGGGACAAAAGAAGTTCAATCACTTTTCATCGACAGATCAACAAAACCATCCCTTGACATACTTTTTTGCTTTTCGCCTTATTCTCAATTTTTATATCACCATTGTCCGTCGTCGCCGTCGTCGTTGTTGTCATGATAGGCTGGTTTTCTTGTGTTTCTTCTTTGACATCGGAAGGAAATTGTGGTGGATAACCGAATTCTTGCAATTCATATTGTAATTTATCAGCACCAACCTCAAAGAAATGTCAACAATGAATAAAGATGAAAATAACAATAACTATCAAATTGAGCCTACGCGAATTGGCATTCCTGTACAATGGAAACCAAATGGAAAGAGACAATTTTTCCCACGAAGTCGTTGATAACCTAAGGCAAACTAAAGAAAATCAAATCGAAGAAAATAATCATCTTCTATAGAAATCAATCCAAACTTCGCATTTCGTCAACGAGAACGTATGGCCCAAATGTAGACAACCATTCATGTATGGATAAGGAAAAGTGACGAAGAATTTATTTGAACTAGAATAGAAAAAGAAAAATATCGATTGTTCAATGAACAGTNTTTTTCCCACGAAGTCGTTGATAACCTAAGGCAAACTAAAGAAAATCAAATCGAAGAAAATAATCATCTTCTATAGAAATCAATCCAAACTTCGCATTTCGTCAACGAGAACGTATGGCCCAAATGTAGACAACCATTCATGTATGGATAAGGAAAAGTGACGAAGAATTTATTTGAACTAGAATAGAAAAAGAAAAATATCGATTGTTCAATGAACAGTTTCACCTTTGATCTACTTCTTACTTGTCACTGCAATTGATTGGTGCATCCGCTTCAAATACTTTCAAATCAGCCCATTTCCGTTGCATTTCTCGTTCAATATTACGAATCGTATCGAGTTTGATCGTTGAACGTTTCTCATTCGTCGATGCTTCTGTTGTTACTGTTGATATGGTCATGTTGACTTGAATTTTAATTGTGCAAATACAAATATCAATCGTCGATCTAGAATACTTGTGAAATTGGTCAAATCTGATCAAATCTGACTAAACAAATTGTAAAAGATTCTTTCAAAAATCATCATCGTCTTCTCAGGTGACACTGCATCACAGTATAAATATCTAGTGCAATGTAGAAAATCATTTTCAATTTCTAGAGCATTTCATTGGAAGATTTCGATTCATCATTGAAATAGATTAAATTATTTTATCAATGCTTCATATCTGAATCTCAATTGACAAGTCAATACAAACTAGACGCTCTCATCTCAGTCAGACGCAGATGCAGTGCTAAGCAAATCATGTCATGTTAACTGAATAAACATTGTCCTGGTCTATCTATGTTTCTATAATCTCATGGAACGAATCTGTGAAGAAAACGGCAATCATTAACGAATACACTCACTTTGGCTGTACTGCTTTAGTGATGAGAGATAATGCAAAAGCTCATGCCCTCTCAGAACAGAATTTTCGTTCTGCCACTTCAAAAAATGCGACTTAAAAATCGAAACAAGTTAAATACTGGATTAACACATTTATGAATATTGTAATAGAATGACCTCTATCGAAATTTTCTCGTTCGGGGTAAAAACATGACTGACGTTGAAGACGATTTTTCTTCTGATAGGTTGATTGCTTTGCTTGAATCCATCGTATTTAGTTTGGCTGTTGTAATGCGAATAATTTTCTCATCAGAATTTCTTCTGCAAACTGACGCAATATCTTTCCTATAAAAAACCTATTTCTTCTAGATTAAAAACCAAAATCAAAACTAACCATGGCACCGCCAACAAAGGCAACGTCTGCTGCCGCTGCTTCCACAGCGACAACAGAAAAACGGTCTACAGTTAAACTCGACACAGTTCGAGATATTGAACAACAAATGCAAAAACTATGGGCTGATTTGAAAGTATTCGAAGCTGATGCACCTGTACAATCAGCCGACAAGTTAGATTTTCTCCTTTCTCGATTGAATACCATCGAACTGAATATTTCTCTTTACTCATTAGTTCCAATACTTTCTTGGTCACGTTCCCATACCCATATATGAATGGTCGTCTTCATCTTGGTCATACATTTTCATTATCGAAATGCGAAGTAAAATATTTCTGTTGTTTGTCTTTGACTGCACATTCTTCTTGTTTAGTTTGCCGTGGGTTTTCAACGTCTTCGTGGTAAACACTGTCTGTTTCCATTTGGATTCCACTGTACAGGCATGCCTATTCGAGTAGGATTTGCTATTACAAATAATCTATTGATTTCTTGTGTTCTGTTTCAAAGACAGCTGCTGATAAATTAAAGCGTGAAATGGAAGAATTCGGTTATCCACCTCAATTTCCTGCACCAACCACTGAGAATGCCGAAGAGGAGAAAGCTGCATCAGCAACAGCAAAAGAGAGTGAAAACAGCAAAGTTGATAACAAGGCGAAGAGCAAAAAGGTAAACTGTTTTTGACGATTGACGTTCGAAGAAGACAATTTGCTTTTTGTTTTTGTTTAGAGTAAAGCAGCAGCTAAAACTGGAGGTGAAAAATATCAATGGCAAATCATGCGAAGCATCGGAATCGATGACGATGAAGAGATTCGACGATTTACTGATCCGCTCCATTGGATTGCCTATTTTCCACCACATGTCAAACAAGATCTTGAAAAGATGGGCTTGAAGGTACTGAGAATACCTTAACATTCGAATTGAACACCCTCCAATGAATATTTAGGTTGATTGGCGTCGATCATTCATCACAACAGATGCAAATCCCTTCTACGACTCATTCGTTCGCTGGCAATTTCATCATTTAAGAGACGGTGGAAAGATTCAATTCGGCAAAAGGTAATTCCTCACATTCACTTGCCATTCCACATATATATATTCGATTTCTTCTATCCTTTCAGATACACAATCTATTCACCAAAAGATGGACAACCTTGTATGGATCATGATCGAGGCAGTGGTGAAGGTGTTGCCCCGCAAGAGTATACATTAGTTAAACTTCGTATCCACGATGATCACATTCCTGAGAAACTCAAACCTCATGTAACGTCATCGACAGCCGGTGTTTACTTAGCTGCAGCGACACTTCGACCAGAAACAATGTATGGACAAACGAATTGCTGGCTACATCCAGATATTCGTTATGTTGCATTCGAAACACGTCTCCATGGTATTCTGATCTGCACAAAACGTGCAGCCCGAAATATGTCCTATCAGGAATTTACTCCAACTTATGGACAATTTACGATTTTGGCTGAATTTCTTGGTTCGGAATTGTTTGGTTTACCGTTACATGGACCACTTTCCCATTACGAAACAATCTATGTTTTACCTATGATGACAATTAAAGAAGATAAGGGAACAGGTGTGGTTACATCGGTACCAAGTGATTCACCGGATGATTTCGCTGCTTTGACTGATTTGAAAAACAAAGTAATCCTTTCATTTCTTCCCTCCAAAGATTCGACCTCTGTCTCTTGATGTTCTTCAAAGGCTAATCTTCGTGAAAAATATCACATCCAAGATTCAATGGTTTTACCTTATGAACCCGTTCCGATCATTGAACTTTCACCTTACGGTCGTCTTGCAGCACCAACAATATGCCAGCAAATGAAAATTCAATCGCAAAACGATCGCGATAAATTGGTCGAAGCCAAGGAACAAATTTATACGAAATCGTTCTATGAAGGCATACTAATGGTAGGTAAATATGCCAATACTAAAATATCTGATGCGAAGAAACTTGTCCGCGATGATTTAATCGCCGATGGCAAAGCATGCCCCTATTATGAACCTGAAGGCAAAGTTATTTCACGTTCCAATGACGAATGTGTCGTCGCGCTTGTCGATCAATGGTTTCTCGACTATGGAAATGAAAAATGGAAACAACAAACGAAACAAGCTTTAGAGCAAATGAATTGTTATCATATAGAAACGCGAAATCAATTCGAAGGTGTTCTTGACTGGTTACATGAACATGCATGTGCACGTTCATATGGCTTAGGATCAAAATTACCTTGGGATGAGCAATATCTCATCGAATCACTATCAGATTCGACGATTTATATGGCCTATTATACAGTTGCACATCTTTTACAAGCACGTGATTCGTTCAATGGCGAAAAATTAGGTTCGGAAGAAAGATTTCTCTCGTTTCAAAACGTTCATTTTCATGTTTGCAGGTCCGGCGAATATTCTTCCATCGCAATTGACAAATGAAGTGTGGGATTATATCTTCTTCCCTGAAAAATCTTATCCTTCAGCAACAGATATTCCGCATGCAACACTCGATCGTCTCCGTAATGAATTTCAATATTGGTATCCAGTTAATCTTCGTTCAAGTGGTAAAGATTTGATTCCAAATCACTTAACCTATGCTCTATACAATCACGTCGCCATCTGGCCTAACCATCCCGAATTTTGGCCGAAATCATTCCGAGCTAACGGACATTTATTATTAAACTCAGAAAAAATGTCGAAATCAACTGGCAATTTCTTGACTTTAGTTCAAGCAATCGAAAAATTCTCAGCCGATGGTTTGTTTTCTCGAAATAAAACTCAATTTCAATCTTTCTCTGTTATTTGTCTTAGGTATGCGTTTAACGTTAGCCGATGCTGGTGATTCCATTGAAGATGCCAACTTCGAAGAAGAAATGGCAGAAGCTCAACTTCTTCGTCTTTATACATTCATTGAATGGGTCAAAGAAGTTCTTCAAATCAGTCCGACTGAAACTCCTAAACCCGTTTCGCAAGAAAATCCAACAATCATTTCAACAGCAACCAATTGGATCAAAGAGAAATTACACCTCTCCGCTGATGGCAGTCAGGAGGACTTTACCGATGAACAAAAAGCACTTTATCGTACGGATACAGAATATAATTACTATGATCGCGTTTTCGAATCAGAAATCAACTCCTCGATCCAATTAACGGAAGAAAGTTATGAAAAAATGTTATATAAAGACGTTCTCAAGTACGGATTCTTTGGTTTACAAATCGCACGTGATAACTACCGAGAATTGTGTTCCGAAAGTGAAAAAATGAATCTACGTTTAATCAAACGGTTCATTGAAGTTCAAGCGATTTTACTTGCACCAATTTGCCCACATATCTGCGACTACGTTTATCAATTCCTCCATCCTGGTCAAACAATTATGAACGCCAAATGGCCAACTGCCGGTAAGCCTAAACAAAAACGATTCTCTTTAAACGCTATTGCTTTCGTTGTCTAGGTCCGATTGATCAATCATTGATCGACTCGTGTGCATATTTGATGAACACCGCACATGATTTTCGTCTTCGATTAAAGAACTTTTCCACACAGCAATCTAGTGGAAAATCCAAAGGAGGTGCAGCTGCAACAACAACAGCCAAAACACCATCAGGTTCAGCACCAACACACGCAACAATCTACGTCGCACGTTCATATCCATCTTGGCAAACCTTCGTTATTAACGAATTGAAACAATTATATCAAGCGAATAACAATTCACTTCCCGATAGTAAACAACTATCTTCTCATTTCAAAGATCGACCTGAAATCGACAAGAAATACGTGAAAAAACTCATGCCATTTGTCATACACTCGAAAGGTTTAGTTGAAAAAACGAATAACATCTCAGCATTGGATCAACATTTATCCTTCGATGAATACGATGTCTTACGAATGAACCAAGATTATCTTCGACGTACATTGAACGTCAAACAACTTGACATTCAATTAACCGATGACACGAAAACCGAAACGAACTCGGTGATTAACTTGGAAGATATTCTACCCGGTCAACCAATCATCCACTTTACCGTTAAAGACTCTTAAAAGGCTTATTGTTACGCGAATATCTTACCGTTTTTTAACATCAATATCTTGTTTCTGATTTCATTCGTTTTTTTTGTTTTCATATGTCGATGTTGACTTTAAAACTATTTTCGAAGTTACTTCGACATATTCATATAAACACATCCGTTTCATTTATTTGGAAAAAGAAATAAAAGAAAAAGATTCGATACGACATACAAGAACGAAGATTTTCAGATCACGAAGTCAAATATGTCATTCTTGGTGAAATTCTTTCTTTCAAACTCATAACATTTATTCTCGTCGGAAATGACGTATATTTCTATTGTTCGACGTCGTCAACTCTCTTTCTTAGATTTCTTCTTCAAACATGAAGAATAAAAATCATTTGCACTCGCATATGCACAACTCACTCTTTTTCTCTTCTTCTTATGTTGCCACAGTTACATGAAAGCATTCATACATGTACAAGTGAATTTAAGAGTATTAAAAAAAATTGTATAGTACTGTCAGTTGCATTTGCATTCATCGACTAAATGGATTTATTTGGGAATTTACCGGCAAATGGAGGTTGGAGTTGAGAAAAATCTTCTTCGCTTTCATATTTGTCTTTCGCTCGTTAAGATGTTCGGGTGAAGGATTGGCCATTGATGCAAAGCGTCATTCCGACACTTGCTATCACTGCTCTCTATGTATGTGCGATTATTTTCGGACGAATGTGGATGAAAACTCAAAAACCATTTGAATTGCGCAGTTTTATGTTTATTTACAATCTTATTCAAGTGGTTCTATGCACGTACATCACATTGGAAGTAAGTCAAAAGCGAAAATATTTCCATAAGACCTCTTCGTGCAACTAGGCAACATACGTATGGATAGGAAATCGGTATAGTTTTACGTGTGAACCTGTTGATTATTCCAGGAGCAAAGATGCGATGCGGGTAAGAGTATTTGGATTGAAATTCGATATGGAAATGGTATTTTAGGCATGTGAAGTATGTTGGTTATATTTTATGATGAAAATTATTGATTTAGTCGATACCGTAAGTGAAATCGAAGTTTTACAAATGCTTTTCAATTTATTTGGATAATAGATTATTTTCGTGCTACGAAAAAAAGACAATCAAATCACGTTTTTACATGTTTATCATCATCTAACCATGGTATTCTTCGGTTGGTATGGAACAATGTATGTTGCAGGTGGACAATGTGAGTTCATCGAACATATCGTTCATCAAAAATCTCTCACGATTCGTTTTAGCATTGTTTATTGTTATTATCAATTCATTTATTCATGTTATTATGTACGCTTACTACGGTCTCAGTGCTTGTGGAAGTCGAATTCAGAAGTATCTATGGTGGAAACGTTATTTAACTCAAGCTCAAATCGTAAGTCGTTGGTTTTCTCGTTTGTAATAATTTGATTCAATGTTTCTCTTCTATGTAGACTCAATTCGTTATGGTTCTTATTCATTCCGCGGTGAATTTCTTGACTCCGTGTAATTATGCGAAAATCTTCGATGTGTCGTTCTTCTTGTATGGAGTATCGATTTTGACACTGTTCTTAAACTTTTACCTTCAAAGTTATATTAAAAAGCGAACAAAAACGAAATAGGATAGGAAAATGAGACTTCGATGATGTTTTAGATTCATTTGTTTGTTGGGGTTTGTTTTTCATGACGAAAATAAATTGTGTTATGTGTGACGAATATCTTTTCCGCCTATTCTTATTCTTAGTTACCTTGTTTCTATTGAATATGAGCGATACAAGTGTCATTTCCCATCGAACTCATCGGCGGAGAGCTCGAGACGATGATTCCTGTTGTGAACAATATTGGTGCGAGGTCATCAGCTGTTTCCTTGTGATTCTTCTCATTGTTTCATCGGTTTTATTGGTATATTTTACAAACAAATTCACTGCGCGTGATCGAGAACGTCAGCGGATTAAAAACGAGTTCAAACGTAAACATCGCGTCACTGACAAAGTCTTAGATCTGATCATGAAAGATGGCCTCCTTTTAAAATTTCTCGCCAAATCGCAAAGTACAATCACAACAACATTCAAGGAGCTATTTCAAGATATTGCCGGAACATTATTCAATGAATAAATAAGAGAAAAAAAGCCGCGTGAAAGTTTATTTCATACAATCTGCACCTTTCTTGTTTACACTTTCGTTCTCTTTTCTCAATGGGTCGTCGGACTAGCAATGATGATTACGATAGAGATTGTTGTCAACAGAATACTTTCAAAATATTCATCGTCATCTGTCTAGTCGTTTGTGCGATTGGTTTAGCAGCGACATTGACTTATGTTTATATGAAACAAGTGCAACGTGAACGAGCGCTATTAGCAAAGAAAAACGTTTGGAATAAACGACTTGAGCAATGTGAACCTATTTTTAAGATCGCAGGACCTCTTATTAAAACAATAGTTAAGGTAGCTTTTTCTGTTATCTTGCTATAAACTGTTTATGATAAAAAAATGAGAGAAAATCTCAAGTCTTATTGTTTTTTTCATTGGCAACTGTACATATGATAGTAAAAAGGACCATTGGAACCGTAGTAATCATTATCGTCAGTGTCGGGAATAGTTTCATAATGACGACAAGTAAGTCCTTTGCAGCAGCTATTTCCGGAATATTGCTTAGCACCAGTGGCACTGCTGTCTGAAGTATAAGCACAGGGTTTATTCGCAGGAATGCAGCTACCACCACGTTTTTCCATCAGCATACGAGCTAAATTATGCAACTGTTGCCTTGACTCACTCAAATGGCCATCTCTCCTTATTTGATAAGGGTTCGCCGAGATACCACTACTCAACACCAGCATAAAAATCGCCAAAGATAAACAGATTAGTTTTGTATTGAATTGCATTTTGGCTCGAATAACCAGGAAGAAAAAACAATCAAGCGTTCGTTTCTCGAATGAAAAAATATGATTATCCTCCGGTAGACATTTACGCTTTTTTTATATCGTGAAGAACGGAGTCAATGAAATATATCGATATTCTATTTTTATCCACAGTGATCTAATCATACCTTTCATGTCACATCGATTTTTGTTGAGTGCAACATCCACGGAATAATCAACAACACATCTGAGCGATGTGAAACCAACTCACATTGATTTTATATCTCGGAAAGATTTCACACAACACAACATGAAAACATTCAAGTCAACTGTTACAAAAAAAAAGAATGTATTACACTTCAGAGGCTAGTCTCGGTGAATGTAAGTTACGATTTGAGACTAATAAATCTAGTAGTTGATTTGTTTCTTCCAAAATTCGATTGCTTCCACTATCTCGACTTGAGTCATTTGAAACATTGATCTGTGAATTTGATTCTTCTCTTGCGAACTCATCGATTTTTGTTTCTAAAAAATCACAATTCATTTCACCGAACAAATTAATCGACAACACTTACTTTCTTTTATCGATTCCATCGAAGGTGAATGAGACTCCCGAATAACAATCGAATGAACTCTTTGCTACAACAAAAAAAACACAGATAATTCATTCGTCATATTTCATCAAAAACACTCCTTACAGTCATTTTAGCATTTGAAAGACGCTGTGCATGACTTAAACCATATTTCTTTCCGTAAAACAAGTAGTTTTTGATTCTTAAACACAGATTCACTCCCTTCAATCGGCAAATGATCACAATCATTGTGAACATAACCAAGATAAACACTACGGCAAACGACACCATCGCTAATTCGATAGGCGCTAACGAGAAGAGTAATTTGATTTTTGTCGGTTCGAACGAAAACATTCGAGTTGAAGATGAAACGTTGCTTTGAACTTCGAAACAGGATTGTAAAAACGACGAACATAGTTGAAATTGAGACAAAGGAAAAGAGGAATTGAGTTGAAGAAGTTCCATTCGGCATTGATCGATGAAAATTTCATTGGGATTGTCCTCGGAAACTTGAAAAGAGGAGAATGAAGAGATTTCTTCGTTACTTGTGTGGAGAACTTGCAGGTTGCCGAGGTGATTTTTTGTTGAGGATTCGAAAATCTCGTAGGGAAAGTGTTTCTGACAGAGATTTGTTCGGTTTGAAATCGAGTGGAGTTCGATGAGGAATTCTGACGATAAAAATTGTTTTGTTAATTGATGTTGAAGAGAAAAATGAAGGAAATGGCTCGGTGTTTGGTGAAATAAAGACGATTGAAGACGTTTTAGTGAATAAATGTTCTTCTGTAGATGAATGAGTGAAAATGTTGATTGATGATCGTTTAAATAAAGAAAATATTCATCAGAAGAGTAATAAAATGGAAGGATTTGTAAGGAAAATAGGATTTCACTTGAGTTCAAAGGAAACTTGTCAGGAATAAGAAAGAGATTCTCGTTTTGAGAGAGAATGACTGATGATTGATTAAAATAAGATAAGGAAATGATTTGAATTTGATCCATAAAACGAAAATAAATGGAGATTTGAGTTTGTTTGGGTAAAAATTTTTGTTTTCTCAGATGAAAATATCGAATGGCGAATGAATAAGAATTTCGATTGGATAAAATTTTTTCATTTAATAAAATTAATTCGCCTGTTTGCTCGTTGACTTTGATATCATTGCGAACTATTTCATTAGAAATTTCAAATAATAGATTTTCTCGTTTTTGCTTCAGCTTCACTTGACCCAGTGAATCACCTTGTTTTAATGGTGATTTTAACGGGATAATCAAGTCGAAATTCAATGGAATTAAGTCAAGTTCTTCGTTCGAATTCAAAATTTCTATTTCAATCATCATTGAATTGTTTAATCTTCTTCCTTCACGACACTTTTCCACTGGATTACAATCAAATGCATTCACGATTAACTTATAAACATGTTCTTCTTCTCCTAAATAACCAAATCGTAATAAAAGTTGATCATATTGATTGATAAATTGTGAACGAGAAAGAATATTCAAATGAAACACATTCGAACAGTTCATCTCATNATCGAAGCAAAGCTAACTATTTGTTTTGCTACTTTTCTTCTGTTTCGAAGAAAACACAATAGCAGAAAGGTTATTTAGCCGATACCGCTTTTATTATTCTATCCTTTTAGCGATTGTTCAGTAAGCGGATATATCCTTGAGGGAATGTCGATTTTCCAATTCGATTGTAAAACACAAACGAAAGTTGAATTGTCACGAACAGGTGAGAAAGTAATAATTAGAAAGATCCGGTTCTGTAGTTTACATTGTGCAGGCGTAGCCGATTAAAAAAGGAAGGTAATCAATGAGACATGAAAAAGTATGCCTAGAACAACGAACACAGGAAGTCGACAGTCGAGTGTGATGATAACTTTGTTCTATATGTATATGTGATGTTCGTTCTTTGAACACATTTGACAAACAATAGAATGAACACTTGCACGTGTATATATTGATGAAGTGAGAGAAAATGGGCAGATGTTATACTTTTACAAATCGAAAAGATGACGAGGTCATTTTGCGATATGTATCAATGTAGAAGAGAAACGTTTATACAATACTTTTGTTAGTTCGACTGCTGTTACGTTAGTATACTTTTTGTCAATCATTTTTTTCACGTATTGTTGTCTTTTAAACAGTGGGTGATGTTGTAGTTTTGAATTGTCATCATTTAAATGACTCTTGTAATGGCTAGTCGTCTCAGCATGCTATTTTGAATTCATTTATACGTTGACAACCTTGCTCAAATTATTTTCTTTTCTCATTACCAATCTGACTACATCAGTTTCCTACTGTGCGAAGTGCTTGAACAACTCAATTCGTTCGATTGGAACATGTTCTTATTTTTGTCAACAAGTCTGATTATATAATTGTTTATATACAATTCGATTTGACAAAAAAGCATCACTCTTGATTATGAAAGATGAAATAAAAATAGAAAGTGGAATCGTACGTGATGTTTGAATTCTTCTAATGATATGAATAGAATGTGCATGATCTAGATGACGCGACAAAGTTAATTAAATAGGTCTCTTCTCAGTACTAAGTCAGCATCTAATTATGAGGCTAATGCTTAGGGATATCATCATCCGCCGATGATGTTAGCACTTTCGCAAATATGTTGAATATCGCTGATTTCATCTACATTTGATTGAATTTGTGCCACAACAACATTTTCTTCTAATGTTAATGATCGCGTAGAATGCCGTTCAAGCTGAACGCAACTTTGATCTGCGTTAATGATTTTGTTAGCTTGATATTATGGTAAGCGTTTGCGAACATGAGTGACAAAGTGATCGGCCGAAGTTTTGGTCGTTTCTCTTTATCTTCTATATGGTGCTTCGTCACAACTTACAATCAGCAAAAAACATCAATAAGATTGATGTCAAATAATGCTGGAGCAATCAGAAGTTCTCGAAAATTAACAAGTAACGCTCGTCCTTAGACTAGCTCAGCTCTTTCTCGCAGAAATATTGATTTCAGATGTCATATTTTTAATACATTACTGTGTATAGAAGTTTTTTCCAGCTTCGGTTAGATATTTTTGCAAAAGCAACAATAGATATTTATACAAAATGTGAAATAGAGCACTAGATACTTTGAAGAAATATCAATACATTTAGAAAAATTGTGAACAACTACATCGAAAAACGGAAATCAAGAAAACACGATAGGCAATATGTGATGCAATGATAGAAAAGAAACAGTTACCACAATAATTAAGATAAATGTGAAGAAAGAGGTAAAGAAAATGAACATACATGGATAATTATTTTAAAGTTATTTCAAATTATGTTACGTTTTATATGCTTGCGATAACACTAGACGCTTAGCAAAGTATCGATTTACATATGTTCAAAAAATGAAAGAGAAGCACTCTCGCTTCGTCTTTTTGTCAAGTTCATCTAGACGTTTTAGTTCACCGTTTTCTTGTGCAGAATAAGATTGAACTTGTACAATCTTCGTGTCGAAAGGTCGAAGGATAACTGTATCATCCTCTTTCTTCATTCTGCTGAGTGATATATATATATATCGATGCTACGTACTTGCAGTGTCCCGGGCGAAGCTTGAAGATCGACTACGACTTTGCTCATTGTGTATCCTTGGGCCTTGCATGTAGTAATAACGAAGGCAGACACAAATGGTAGTTGTGTAGTCGTATCTTGAATGACTTGTGGAATTTGTCTCCCACTTCGCACTCGATCACGTAGATGCCTGAAGAGTTGCTTTATAGGAACAATGAGTCGCTTTTTGATTAATGGAATAGGAGTTAGTTTAGGACGAAGATCATCAAGATATTCTTGAAAATGCAATATCTCACAAACAAAATCGCGAGAAGATAAATCCTCTTGAGACTTTTCCATACCTTAGTGGGGTCTACCTATCGTCCAAAGGTGGAACGTAAAGGACTTGAACACCTAAATATGTTTTCTCGTAAGCTATCCATCATATGTTAGAACCAATCAACAAGAAAAGTACATCAACATTGCTGAGTTTGTTCTAGATTGTGATACTAATCTCGTTAGGTAGGTTGTCAAAGTGTATAGTCGAGTATGATGTTAATCGAGACAATGCTAAATAAACTAGGTATGGAAAAGCATCCGATCAAAGATCACATATATAAGAATATCATCGAAATCAAATATATATTTATTACTTAAATTGGAAACGTTATTTATGGGCTGAATATTTTGCATTGATTGATAAAAGGCATGAGATCAGATTAGTACTAATTGATTATTTCGATCACTTATGCACTGTTCGATGAATAGAATAAGTTAGGATAAAAAAGACTAATGAGTCCGATTCATCTAATCGTAGTACGTGCATATTGTTGCTTTTAATGGGAAATATCCATTTCAGACAAAAAAATAAGTTGATTAAGAAAAAGGAAAGCTACTTTTGAGTAATCAAGCACCCTGAATGCAACAAAATGAAATAGAATCTGTTTCGTATTCGAATAATTTATCTAAGTGCACTCATTGATGTACTTGCACGTTGGCTGCTTGTCGATGTATGCGGTTGATGTTGAATCTGATGAACGAGCTGTTGAACAACTCCACTCGTTGCTTCGCCTCGACCAACAGCCGTTCCGGTCTTGTCCATTGAAATCGGTTGTGCAGCGAATCCAGCAGCGGCTTGTTGTTGCTGTGTTCGAAGGTCATATCGATGTCGAGCAAAACCACCAGCTATATGACCTACATGTCCAATGAAATACATTACGCACAGTCAAAGAAGTTTGTCTTCAACCTTGGGATGCACTTGGTTGTAAAGAAAATTGTTCGGGACCGCTGAGACTATGACCTGTTATTTGATAAACAGCATCCATGCCAGGAGCATATGTTGCATCCATCTATATCAAATAAATGATTCCGAATTCGAACTTTCCACTACATTATGATTTACCTCCTTATTGAATTGTGTATGATCTTCAATATAACTTTGATAATCATCATAGTTTGCTGCTTTGCCCAGTGGCGAACTGAAATACGGTTTCGATGATCGAAGAGTTTTCATCTACGATGCAGCAAGTGTGAATAAAAACCATCATCTCTCAGTTTTTATTTACCAAATAAAAAGCCATGATCGCTCCCAATCCAAAGCCGAATGCCACGTCTTCCCAATGATTTTTATTACTAGCCAACCGAACGCCACCGGCAACCACTGAGAGGGTAATTATCGATAAAACAAGAAATGGTTTGACAATTCGAACACGTTCAATACGTATGCCACGGTGAAGATAAATCTAAACATTTACAACAGCAACTCGAGATCAATTTTCTGAGAATCAATTTACTGCAAGAAACATCGCACTGTACATGGACAGCGAAGCGTGAAGTGATGGAAAAGAAAGTCTAAAGAAAATACTCAATAGCATAGTAACGATTTCTTCTCATACCTAGCTTCGCGCGACAATCCAGTTAAATTCTTCGATAGACATACAACTTCAGCATCATTTAAACCTACAAACGCAGTGAGTAGCATTTTATTTTACAACCTGCAATTTTATACTCACCCATTCCATTGCATGATTTCTGATCAAGGTTGCATAGAGTTAAAAAGTAAGGTCTCAAACGTCCAGACATAATCTTCAGAATATCCGTGAGAACAGTGGTTGCTAGTGCACCAAATATAAATACCGCTAAAGTAAAAATGACTCTACAATCAATAATCTGCCACAAGTAACATACAAGTATATTTCAGAATACGAGCTAATGATCGCATCAAACATTCCTTAAAACGAATAGCAAAACGAGCCCGATAGGAATGATATGTGACAAATGAACGAATCAATTCAATGGTGGAAATCTATATAGAAACAAAACATGAAAACATATTCGGTAGATTTCAATGGTTTCCTTACGATGACGATGGGAGTTGCTAAACATAAGATATAGAGAGTAAGATTCGAAAGAATGATATAATTCCGTTCGGTGTTGGCATCTTCATAAGATTGCAAATAACGAGCATCATCACAAAGGAATCGTTGTTGTCGAACAGGAAATATGTCCGATGCTCTACGAAGACAAAATGCATTCTGTTTCAACAATTAACCTTCGTTGTTTCATTCTACCGAAGAAGAAATGCGATGATAATCGCAAATACAAGTACGATACTATCAAGAACAGCCGTCGCTAAAGCATATCGGCCACCATTTCGAACATATTCCGCTGTTCCTTCCGTATAAGGTGCACTTCTATCAGAAAAGAAATAAAGTTCAATCAAGATCGTTTTTTTCTCGAAGATGAAAATCTATACATGCGTGATCGTGCGTCCATGATTGTCTTAACTGATTCTAATCATCTCTTCCAAAGAGCGAGAGATGAAATTGTTCACTTCTTAAACAATCTTTTCTCTCTTTTTTTGTCGTGTTATTCAAATATACAATGAAAAGAATGATGATGGCCGTGAAATATTCGCATATATGCAAACATTCGATCAAGACGATTTTCTTGGGCATGTACACGTACAATTGAGTAGAATTTCGTATCTATGATCATGGGGAGGGAGAGAGAAAAACGAACGAGCTTGTTTAATATCATCGGCAAAGTTAAGACTTTAACAAATACTCGCCATCCGATCAGGAAAGGAAAGCAAAAGAAACATTCTTTTCATAGGAGATATCTGTTGACCACGAATGAAAGAATGTTTCGTTGTGCAATTCTTAGACAAGTCAAAGATCATCATCAATTCTCATCCGTTCAATTGTTAGAAATCAAGGTGGGCATAGAGACACGTACGAGATGGAGTCGACTTGCAATTTTTATTCAATTAGTTGATGTTGAAATACAAAAGCAGGTTTTATCCATTGATGACAAACACATCGCAAACCTTGAAGAGAATATTCACCTAGATTAATTTGACAATTTGGACAACGAATTGCTCCAACTGAATTGACAAATATGTCGTCTATCCAATCGAGAAAAAACGTGAAAATTTGAGACGAATTCAAACAACTAAGGTCATGTTTTTGTATATCGCTACTATGAAACAGTTTCTCATGACACTGACGACATTTATATTCTCTTTCAGAGTCGTCTGTTGAGAATAAAACAGTTGGAGTCGCTGCTTCCGATTTGATCGGAGCGAACCTTTGTCGTTGAAATTCTTTGTAAAGTTCATTTTCTAAATCAATCTTGTAATTCATCTGATAAAATAAGTCCAATTGTCGAAGAAAACCATCATTTGGCAACACCGACCAAAAGCGTCGTTTACTTCTTAATCGTTCCAAGGCTTCGTCTCGTGTTAACGAATACTTGCGCATTAGATACATTGCAGCAATTGTCGCCGAACGTGACACACCTGCATGGCAGTGAATTAGTATTTGTTGACCTTGAACAATCGACTGTTCAATGAATTGAAAACATTTGTCGAATTCATTTGTTAATAAATCTGTTGAATGAAAATCTTCGGCATGAATAATCAAATATGTACGTTTGGGATCTAAATGCTTTGGTTGATAATCAAGAAGTGTGATTATGTGTGAGATATTGTGTTCGTCGAGGGCTCGATGATCTTCCGATGCGGTTATATCACCTAACCAAACACCACAATCATCAATTTTGTCAGCGGTAAACATCGATCTATATAGTTATGGAAATTGGGAGGAGTATTTATGAATAATTATCAAAGATTTCTTATACTCTTTGTAAAAAAATAAGTAGAGAAATAAAACAAGTCAATTTTACGAGGAATTATATCACAAAAAAAATGGAACATTCGTACGAAGTTGGTTTATTGAATTCCTTTAGCTGCCAATTCTTGTCGGACTCTAGATGAAATAAAACATGTCGAAATAAATTTCATTCGAAAACTTCATTCACTTACCGACTAAGATAAGTGCTATCAGGATAGCCGAAACTAGGAAAAAAAACAACGTGAGTATTATCAATTTCTTTCATAAGATCAATTTTACTTCTCAACACCACCATTGTAATGTGTTTTATGATGAATATCATTCCATGTTACGACATTTTCTTGACCTGTCGTGCGGGATTGGCCAATGGTGAACACTTGACGAAGTTCAAAAGCTTTTTGTAAAAGTTTAAGTATTTCTCGACCTTCGCGAGTGTCAGGCAAATACGCCTCACGTCGTGTTCCACGATAAGGTCGGCCGGGATTCGGATGTCTATCCTAAATGAAATGAACATCTCGAAATGTTTTGATCAATTTCAATTTCAATTAAATATACATCTTGGATACCATTGGGGAAAAAATAAGTGATTTGGATTGTACCATTTGATTTCTCGTAACCTGGTAAATGATGCTTCGTTCTAATGAATTTCATAGTACCATTATCTGGTTGAGTACCTATGAGTAGAAGATTCAGAATGAATTCGATGTATAGATGAACGTCTCGTACCTCGAATATCTCCGTAAATAGTAAAACAACAAGGGCATTGTGGTTTGACACTGTTAAAATATTGATCGATGCATTCGGTGCAGAATTGATGACCACATTTATTGAGTCGTTTGGGTTTGATACAGTCATCCATACAGATAGCACATCGTTCTGTATGTATAGAATGTATTAAGATGAATAAAAGTTGCTCTTACGGACCTGGTTCACCGTTTTCTGAATGATTTTCATGTGCTTTCGATTCATTTTGTTTATTATTAGAATCATAGTTTTCTTCTGCAGACGAATCAGTGGATTTGGAATTATGTTTGTGAGATGAATCTTTTGATTTATGACGGTGATCTCGTCGTGTCACATCCGCAGAATGAGGCTAATATTAATGAACATATTTGATATGATGTCATTTGCAAAGCTTAAACTTACATGGCGTCTTGTTTCACCTGATTTATCTCTATCTTTTTCTGGTGCCATTTTGTCGTACGCTTGACTCCATACTCTTCGAAGACCCCTTCTGAAACCGCCCAAAACGGATGGATCTTGCTCAGAAGGTGTTGCCATATCGATCAGAACGATTTCTGAAGAACGGAAAGTACTGCGTCATTAAGAATATCAATATCTTTTCATGGAAATTCTTTAAGTAAACTGATACTAATCTACTGATTTCACGTTCATTTGTGATGATGGTAGTGTCAAACATGATTTCAATAGCAAAAATAGATGAATTTTCAGTGAACAAGAGCACAGTAGAAATAATATTTGCGAGGAAGTTGATGATGAGTCATATCTCACATCTGATTGGTCGATCGACTCAGCAAAACAAATAAATGTTGATTTCTTTGTAAAAGTATCCCAGGACGAAACTCTTCAAAGGAAAAACAATATTCGTCAACGTATTGAAACAAATTTTCTAAAAGACGAAAAACGATAAAAATCCTTCGATGTAATGATTAGCTTCCGATCTTATTATATGAATCATCCACATCCACCCTGTCTAATACAACATGTTTATTTATCAATCCAGATTGACATCGTGCACCATTGCTTCAATGATTCTCTTTATTTACTCGAGATATTCACAAAATTCTTCATAAAATCATATTCATCCATGAATAATCATGCAAATATTCTATCTAATCGATACATACTCTAGTTCTGATCTTCTCTTTTCTAGATAAATCAAGGCGCCTATCTGTGATCAAATTTCTTCGTTATGGGTAAACCGACGAAACTTCTATTGGGACGATATTTATCGAACTGTTTTGCTTTATTTTAGCTGCATCTCATGCTTCATCCTTTCTTATTTCGCTTCTTATTAGTTTAGTACTAATTGCATCAATGCAATTATTTCGTGCACAGTTAGCATCGAGTCAAGCACTGACGATCGTTGGAGGTTTTTTTGGTTCATTAGTTTTCATTTCACTATTAACGGTAGGATTTCAAAACCGAAGATTAGTTTTCCTAGCGGAAAATGTGTTTTAGGCTATAAGCAATTTCGAAATGAATACGTTCGGGCCAAATTATCAAGCGCGAATCTTTCCTGAAGGTATAAACATAGCAAAAAAATAGATTTTTCGTACTGGATTGCTTTTAGTGATCTCATGTTTATTCATTTCAATGATCTGCAGCGGCTTTGTACATCGAGTTTGTGTAACAACTTGGTAAGTAACATACTCGATGAACTTTTGCCAAAAACGTTAATTGTCGTGCGAAGGGAAACAAATAAAACGTCTAATTATCTATTATTATTCAAGTAACGACGTTTCTCTTTCTTCCAATAAGCTTAGTACATTCGTTGCATTTAAATCTCCTCTGAATTGCAACGCGTTTTATCTCGAGAGATGACAACTGTTCGAGATAAGAATAAGACGATGTGACTTGGATTTGCGATATATATGCACTGAAGTTATTCCGAAACACAACAATGTTTCACGTTGAGAACAGCTGCGAATAAGTATATATTCGATTGAATTTCTAATGAGAAGTATTGTGACTAGGATAAGTGATGAATTGATTCCTTTTTCTGTGAAATTCATATGACTTCGTCGCTGCCTTTTCTTCCTTAGTCCCTTGAGAGCATAATAACATGAAAAAAAAAAGTTGTCTTCTTTGTCTAAACTCGTCTGTCTACTTTCAGTGTTATTTTTTCAATGATCGCACTTTATTATATCAATCGCATTTCAAGCAACACTTACGGAAGTGCAACTACACCGGCAACAGGTTATGCTACACAAAATGCTCTCTTGAACAAGAAAAAGCAGAAATGAAATCATTTATCATATTCCTTTCTCTTTCTCTCTCGCTAAATTTCTGTCAAAAAAGAAGGTCTGTAGTAGAATAATGCTTAAATAAATCCAATTCATTGTTGTCTTATTGAATAAAAATCTTTGCATGAGCAAAGCCAAAGCGACGCATGATATATTTATCTGTCTGGAAGTTCAATTGACGTATCGACGAGTTGTGCATGCTGTAGACAGACGCTTTTTGCTATGCAAATGCATGACTATTGTGTCCGCCCATTAAAGAAAACGCGACCACTTTCATCTTTGTCATCTCGGAACGCGAGCTTTTCTTTCTTTCTCACATCTTTATCATGCAAAAACAATGAGCCGAGCAAACTGTTTCCTGTGAAGAACAGAGACGAGCAAATGAAAAGCATCAGCTATATTTACTCGTTGTTCGTGCTTTTCATAAAGTTTACATTTGACTCTTTACGACTCTCATTTTCTTTTCAGATTAAATTCTCTTTTTCGTTTTACGATGTTCACTTGATATTACAAAATGTAATCACTTCTCCCTCGATGTATACAAGATATCAAAGTCTACTCAATTCGGAACGGACACGTGACCAACAAGATGATCCGACCCGGTCGACGCACAAACTATATCGATATCATCATGATCCAGTAGCATCGACAAACAATTTTCGTCGTGACATTCCACCTATTTTGATTTTATTGTTTTTCCTGTTTTTGATTATCATCATTTTATCCCAAATCCTTGTTGTTCATTCGTCGCGTTATGGAACGAATTTTTCCGCCATGCAAAAGATTCAAGAAGAATTAAAACAAATGGACGAAAGTATGGAGCAAATACTCAGTGCCAATGTCTTACCGATCGATAAATGGCGTTTGCTCTTTCACATCCAGACGTACCTTTATCGGTTTGAATCTTTGTTCAATTTATTCAACAATCAATCGAATCATACTTCCCAAAACGAAAGACAAAGCCCACAGATGATCAAACACGTTCAAGATCGACTGAAACATCTGACCGATCCCAAAGATACAACATTATTGCATAAAAGGAGAAAGTTTTGTCCGGAACAACCTCGCCAACTCAGTAAGAAGCGCTCACTCAATTCGATTTCATTATTTTTTCTTCGTCTGTTTGTAGAAGGTCGTATTTTGGACGACAACTCAACATTTTCAAATATTTCATTATATGAATTGGAAATGAACTATACCAATGTCAGATCAGGTGGTCATTGGTCACCCGCTCATTGTCGAGCACGTCATAGGGTAATGCAACACCTTTATACCCATCGCTTTTCTTATTTTTATCTCTTTCACCTCCTAAGGATCGTTCACGTAAGTCAGCAGTGACTAAAAAAGTTCGCTTTTTCTCACCCTTAACACTCGATACTAAACTACAATTTGAAAAATTCTTCTCCAACTCACTGCTCTTTCTTTTCTCGATTTAGGTAGCAATTATAATTCCGTATCGAGATCGATTTGAGCACTTAGTGACACTACTCTATTATTTACATCCACTCTTACAACGACAAGAACTTGATTATAAGATCTACGTTTCCGAACAGACTGGAAATGGAACATATAACAAAGCTGTACTAATGAACGCAGCTTTTATTCATGCATCTAGTGAATATGATTTTCAATGTTTTGTCTTTCATGATGTGGATTTAATACCAGAAGATGATCGGAATATGTATTCCTGTCCTATCTTTCCTCGGCATATGTCAGTTGCTGTCAATGAAATGAATTATAAGTAAATATCGGCCGACATCAGTTGATTTTTATTGATCTCGATATGAATATTTAGACTAACTTACGAAGAACTCATTGGCGGAGTATTTAATATACGTATGGAACATTTTCTCGCTGTTAATGGTTACAGTAATTTGTATTGGGGTTGGGGAGCTGAAGACGATGACTTATTCTATCGGTAAACAACGATATAACCTCACCAAACCATTCGTACGTTTGTTTTAGTTTGAAAGAAATTTCTTTGAAAATTATTCGTCCACCTTCATCGATTGCCAGATACCGAATGCTTCAACACACAAAACGAACACCATCCATATGGAATAAACGGTATTGTTTGCTTGATTTCGCATAATAAATACCAACATGTCATTAATTTTCCAGAGCAAAACTACTATACTCAGCTGCTAAGCGATACACATGGGATGGTGTTTCATCTGCGCGATATAATCTAACTTCTGTCATCTCCTATCCATTGTTTACACATATACTCATCGATGTTGGTACACCGCCACCTGGTTTTAGTTAACATACACACGAAACATAATCTTAGTCAATTTTGTATATTATTCTACTACGAAGAAACAAACAAACTAACAGTATCTTTTCATATTTTTTTTTACATCTTTCAACTAGTGAAACAAACGGTGTTCTTTTTCAATGTCATGTTTGTGCGGTTTTGTTTTTTTTTCTTCTACGTGCAATACTTCATCCGAAATCTTCAAGTCAAATTCGATATACATCTGTATAAGAATGAATGCGTGTGTTTTCCCTTTGTCAAAGAATGGATTTGTAGTCATTGATTGTCTTTATTTCTTTTCTGTGTACCGTAACCGTCCTTTTGGATTCGACATTTTCTTTTCTGAGTTCGAAAAAAAAAAACTTCACTTTTAGTCAAATTTGATTATGAAATGATTGATTCATTTCGTTTTGTATTTAGATCGAATAAATAACATTGAATACAATGCTCATTCTTTCGGATTTGTATCGTGTTGCCATTCGCACTGGCGATCGAGTTCTCACACCAAGCATGAAAAAGGTATTTCTTAGTTTGCAATTCTTTTCAATCACTGAAGATCTGCTCCTTTTTCCGTTTAGATTGTCAAATGGTAATTCTCTTCTGTTTGTCATTTTGAAAAGCATGGCTTTTGTTTTCATATGCATAGGGATCATCCAGCAGGAATGAAATACATTCACTTTTGGGCACCGTTGATGAAGTGGTCTTTAGTCGCAGCTGGTTTTGGCGACATGCTACGTCCAGCTAATAAACTTTCATTAAATCAATCGATATCTTTATTCGCAACAGGAGCCATTTGGAGTCGATACTCGATGGTTATTATACCAAAGAATTATATGTTATTCGCTGTCAATATATTCTTAGCATTTGTCGGCGCACAGCAACTTGCACGTATCGGCCATTATCGATACACACATCCCGAAGCACAGGCGAAAAATTAAGAGCAAACATCTGAAAACAATTACGCACTTTCCTCCATTGAAATTGACTAGCAATAGATTAACCGTTGTCCGGACGATATTCTATAACATTAACTATAAATTTACTATTGAATAAAACCAGCATGACAAAAGTATATATAGTTGAAATCGAATGTTTCCAGTGTAGAAATGAGTTTGATAAAAATTAGGGACAAATGAAAGAAAAAGTCAGGTATATGGTGCTTAACAATTCTTTTAAAGTCATAAAATATACTCGTAAAGATTCTGTGGAACATGAAGGCTATATGGTTTCTCACTCGCATACTATTTACGGTATGAAACTACTTTTGAAGGTGGAAAGATAGAATCTTTACTCTAATGTCACAGTTTCTAGTTTATATATGAAAATATAATATTGCGCGAGACTTATTTCGTCTCCTGTTCATACAAATACGAGATAATCGGTACAAAGAACGAATTACGTTCTCATTAACGGCTGTTACATCATCTTATTGACCTTATCGATACAACTAGTTCAACTGATCATGGACTATAATCAACAGAATTTTCCAGTAAACTAGATCCAATATTCGTTGATATTCCACATTGATACGGTATACAATTTTAATAATTCTCATCTGTGCCATCATCTTATTGTATACCGATGAATCAAAGACATTCATAGTTCCCATTGAAGACACATGTTAAACAAAGTTTATTCGCCAACCGTCTATTGATCGATATTCTTTTGTATAATGATACAAATCCTATATCCAATCTCAGTTATTCTCTTAGTGAAAAAGAAGAGCGCGATTTTGATATCATGTCACAATTATTACAGAGATTTCGTGAAAAGATTTCTCAGTATCCTCATGAACACTTTCACGGTCGAGGTATTGTCCTTACAGTTGTACCTAATCAAATGAAACTTGCAAAAACAAACTTGAAGATGATTGAATAAACACGAACTAAATTACCAGTACAAGTAACATTGGTTAACTTTACAATCACAACATTTGTTGTATTCTGCTCTTTTAAAATAGATATGGTACTCATCATCTCAGATCTCTTCTTAGACTATCATTGAATTGCTTGAGCATGAACCTAATATTGATATAAGTATTTGTTGTTTCATCAAATCCGAATGTCAAACTCGAACTTATTTACAAAAAATCGATTCCAATTTTGACTTCAAACTAAACATATGCCATTTATTAAAACCGTTTCCATTCAAACCTGTTGCTGTTCGTAGTGCTACGTTTGGTGAAGTTCTGTTTCTCGATTGCGATGTGTATGTTACACGAGATCGGGAAGAATTATTTCTTTCAGATCCAATGTATCTTCGATTCGGCGTTCGTTTGTATCCTGATGCCTATAAAAGTCGACAAAGACGACCCGTTTGGAAATTATTTCCAACAGATTGTGCTCAAAATGAATCCGAACTCGATAGTGCAGTCATTTTGGTTAATAAAAATCAAGTATGGAATGGTTTATACATGACAAAATTGATTAATGACAACTATCCACTCTTTTATAAAGTATTCAACATTTGTTATACAGAAAAGAAGTTCTTCGTTTTGATTGATTTTAGTATGTTAGTGATGGTGATAAAGATACATTTCGCTTAGCATTTCGATATGTGAAAGTCGAGTATTATTTAGTCATAACACCATGTGCTGTAAGTTATTGGATAATTGTATGAAATCTCATTATCTTTTCTTAGATTGGATCATTCAATGGTACCCGTTTTTGTGATTTGACACTTTGTAAAACGGATAGTTTATCCCAATATATTTATTTCAAGTAGACTATCTTGTAGACTTGATTCTTTTTTCTTTAGTTGTTTAGTTTTCTTAGTCGTGTACATATATTTAAATATAAAAGAATTACCTATTTCCCGTTTACGTTGGGTTACACGCGAATTGGTCTTGGCGATCCGAATAATAATACATTCGTCTTTCGACATTGCCGATTATTGAACGCGCCGACCAGTTGTTTTCATATTCTGAAGCAAGAGACTGTTCAATTGGATGAAATCGATTGCTTTAAAGGTTCTATTCCATTAGAGGAGATGGACAATCATAAATATCAATTGAATGAATCATTACCAATCGGAACGTTAAAGAACAATGAAGTGTTAATGAGTAGAACAAATCATTTAATGCCTCATTTCATTGATAATTTCATCAAATTTTTGTAAATAAAGTTCTTCGTAGTAACTAACACGAAACAGATGAAAGTAGATCTGTTTCTTTTTCGTATCTCTAACGAACAGCTCTCGAATGAAAACAAATCGTGTCACGTTGATTAAGAAAAATATCTTCTGGAAATGATTAGGACACAGACGCCTATATGAAGATATATCACCTGCTTCGTTTTCTTTCTCTTTCACTTAATCGGTACATATCCACGAGCATTACTTCTATTGTTTGTAAAGCGCATTGAAAATGAAAAGAACTGATGATGCGATGTCCAGTTAACATCACACTCGACTGTTGATTTCCTGTACGTACGTAGTTTTTATGTTTCATTGATCACCTTCCTCTTTGATTTGCTTCTTCGCTGTGTCAACTTTAAGACCGGATCTTGATAATTATTCGCTCACCTGCATCTTACAACATACAATTTTCGGTCATCATTTCTCTTTTCTTTTCGATTCTCTAATTGGAACAATTTGTTCAAGAAGCACCAATGACACGACCGATATCGGCTAAATAACCTTTCTGCTATTGTGTTTTCTTCGAAACAGAAGAAAAGTAGCAAAACAAATAGTTAGCTTTGCTTCGATGCATCTCTTCCTCATCTGCTAAAAACATTTGTACAAATTATTCATCGACACATACGTTCTTCATTCATCGTCTCTCTTCACAAATCAATAACAACAAAGACAAGTTGGACATTCTTTCATCTTCTTCATTTCCACAGATATATATATATATATAATTTGTTCGAGACAGAAACGATAGAAAATGAAGAGCGACGGTGATTTGTCTTTTCACATCTCTCTCTTTCTTCTCGCTGCTCAAACTTCCGTTTTTCTTCTTTTTTTCACTTTTCACTTTTCCGTTGACGACATATTTGTGGTCGATTCATCATCACAATTAATCAATCAGTTGAACAAATGTGTTGTGTGTTCGCTTAGATCGTCCATTCCACCTAGTGGATCGCACATTCTTTCATCTCCTGACAGTGGCCACTATCGTGTGTATGCACAAAAGTTAATACTCGAAGACGACGACGACGACGACAGACGTAAGATGGGATTGATGAATTGTGCGTGCTTCTAATTGTAGACACTGAAAGTGAGAATGAGTTGATGTTTAACGAAAGACAAAAGTGAGTTAATTATCCTCTCTCTCTCTTCTTCAGTGTTGATTCATGTCATGTAACAAAACATTCGATGAAAATGAAGAAGCAGAAATGAGAGTGATTGTATTGTTTTAGATATCTTGATAGTTTGCAAGAAGAAGAAGAAGAAGAAGAAGAAGATGGAAAGATTGGTGATCTTGGCAATGATAATTGAAGTGAGTTTGTCAACAACATCGATTAAAACGTTCACTACATTGGAAATGAAAGAAAATCTTCCAGTTGGAACTTCACTTCTTCAGCTCAATCAACAAAATCATCATGAGAAATATTATTTGTTGAATCTGAGTGGATTCGAAAGAAAATATTTTCGAATCGAACATGAGAATTTGTTGATCGAGAAAGAAATTGATCGTGAAGAATTTCTCCAAAGTAAAAGATGTTTTGATCGTTCGTATTGTTTAATTGAAATTCACATTCTGGTCAATGATGGTCAATTGTATTTTGTTATTCCCATTCACATTGTCGAGTATGTTCAACTCTATTTTCACATTTTCAAATAGAAAAATCGACTTTTTAGTGTTAATGATAACAAACCAGAGTTCAAGAATCGATTTATTCATTTGAAATTAGAAGAAAACTCGTCGAATGAACATCAGATTCCAATCGAAGGTGCATTTGATGGTGATGAAGGAGTAAATGGTGCAATTGTTTATGAATTGGATTGTTCGTTAATGAACAAAAATCATGAGATGAACTGTTCGAATGTGTTTCATTTGAATATTCTTTCTCGTTCACAATTTATCAATCAATATGATCAACTTTTATTACGATTTGGTTATTTAGGAGAAGAAGAACATGTTTATAAGTTAATCGTGAATGCATTTGATTGTAATCCAGTGGAAAAGTGTCGTGAAGGAAGAAGATTAAACAATTCAATGATGATTGAAATAGAAATTTTGAATTCGGACAAAGAAGACATTGATTTTGTCAAATCCAAATATGAATTTATCATTAAAATGGAAACTCCTTTGAAGAAAGGTGCAAATTTAGGGAAAGTGAAGACAAGTCAAAGAAGAAAAACGATTTTCTTTCAAATTGACAATGAAGTTATTGAAAATGATATAAAAATCAACGAAGAAACAGGTGAATTAACTTTACTAAATGAAGAAATTTTATTTAACAAAACTTTAATTTCATTTTCAATAAAATTATTCGATTCGATAAAACAAAAATATCTGTTAAGAAAAACCACAATCGTTTTCATTTATTTTCGTTTTCAAAATCAATTGAAATCGATTTCATTTTCTTATTTTAATCAATCTTCATTAATTCAACGGCAAAATGAAAATCATTTCCTTATTTCTTCTAAAAATTCCATTCCATCCAATGAAATCTTATTTTCAATCGAAATTCTTCCATCCTATTATCTATTTGATCAATATTTTCTTTACTTGGACAATACTCAAACACAATTTTCTCTAATTTTCCAAAGAAAAAATGTTTATTCATTGAAACTTCTTCAACCTTCATTTTCAAACAATTTGTTTCTTCAATTTTCCATCGAACATCAATTAACCAAAGAACTTTTATCATCTCAACTAATCATTCAATTTCAATTCGTTTCCAATCAAGAAAATCTTTGTCAAGAGAATCTTTTCTACGAACTTTTCGATCTTTCAACAGAAAAATCCATTGGAAAACTTCAAGTTTTGAAAACAACAAACGAAACAATTTCTTCATTTTCAACTTTCCAAATTTCTGATGAAAATCCAAATGAAATCGTTATCGATCAATGTCAAATGAACTTTACTCAACTCAATTCGTCTTTATTTTTGACTCAATTTCGACTGTGCTCATCATCATCGTTTTCACCATCGTGTTTTTCTATTGAAAAGAATATTTCATCATCGAATGACTTGCTGCGCTTAAAAGAAAGAAATTCTTCGATTATGAAAATCGTCTTGTCATTAACACCAATTGAAATCATATTTTTATCATTTGGTTGTGTTTTTATTTTATCAATAATTATGATTTTGACGATTATTTGTCGTTTAAAAGGAAGACGCGTCTGTTTGGAAATCAAAAATTATTTATTTTATGGGAAGAAATATGGTTTAAGTCATGCGCAAAGTCTTTCCAATGCAAAAATGAATGTAAGACCGTTTTCCTAGAAGATATGATGAATAATTTCTGTTATTATTCGTTGTAGCAACGAGTTCATTCGATTGTTATTCGAGAATCTCATTCACCATCGATAGAATCTATAAAAGAAAGTAAAGTAACTCATTTTTGAATGATCAATTCAATCAAATAGATCTTTTTTTTATAGAAATTCATACTGATGGTGTTTCACGAGAAGAATCGAATTCACAACAATTGAATATTTCAAATGACTCGAAATCGATTTCCGATCGAATATTACAAGAAACAGATCAACTATTCGATTTGTTAGTTTCAAATGAGAATCTGCATTTACCGAGACTAGCATCGGAAGTTTAAAATGCAATGTAAATCTTTTCTTTGTTGTGATTGTGTATGTTTTCACGTGTGACTTATCAATTTGTTGAATGTGCTGATTGAAGAACGAAAGTGTTTACTTGTATTAAAGAAGAAAAAGAAAACAACAACATGACTATAGCGAACTAGACAGAAGAAAAATGAAAAGAATCACTCGACAAAAATGAGTATTTGATCTTGTCTATGGCAGTGAAAAATTTTCCTAATCAGCAACTCTTGCTCGTCGTTTTGTATCATTTGATAAAGTAACATCATTATTAAGATTTGATGTTAATTTTGTATTGCTATTTTGATCCGTGGTTTGTGTAGATGACAAAACTGATGAAGATTTTTTAATTAAATTAGGTAACAATGTTTCACGAGCGTATCCATAAAATGATCGAGCGAATGGAAGAATCTTAATACAAAGAAAGTCAAAGTTTGAAATCGAAAATGAATTAATGTGATAAATTTACTGTTTCATATTTGAATATCACGGCAATGATCATTAAAGCAATGATAAATGCTGAATAGGAACCAGTCAAACCACTTTCACCATCATAGATTCTCAACTAAATAGAAATTCATTAACAAAAGTGTCAATTCGAGAGAGAAATATCTTTTTTACGCGTGGTTGAAAATTAAAGGTAAAAAACAAGAAAGTTTGATTCGCTGTGAATGACACTTCGGGTTGAATATAATTGTAAACACTTGTTGATAATGGTGAATCAACTCGAATTGTATAACTCTAAAGAAAATGAAAGATTGTTGATCTACAAGGAAGTATTCAAATAATGAAACGTACTTCGTTATCCAATGGTACTGCATTGAAATATGCGAAGGGTGAATTCGTCAATGTAACTGTTTGTATTGGACTTTCACGTTGTGAAGATTTGTATAATTTGACTTTGAGTTGATTGAGAAATTGTGTTTGGGTTTGAATAAACACATTAATATCGACATCTGATGGTCGTTTAATGGTGTATAAATGGATGTGTTGAACATCATTGTCAACAATTTCGATGATTTTATTTCTTGGTTCAATTTGTAAAACGTCTATTTGAGTTGGTTCACTTGGATTTGCACGGTATTGAAGTTGGTAACGACAGCCGGGTTGGAGAGCTCGTAAACGAAATTGTCCGTTCATATCGGTTTTTGCTGATTCTCTTGTGGCACTTATACATTGTTCAATTCCGATGGCGTCAATAATTAAACCAGTTTCTGGCTCGTTGTTCAGTGATGTGACTTGTCCGTAACAACTAAACGCCACTCGTTCAACTTCAAATTTAGCTGTTACTTCAGCACCGGATGCTAAATCAATATGGGCATCTTCCGGATGAAATCTATATTCTCGTAATTGTGGACGTAAATAATATTTTCCTGATTGTAAATCGCTGAACAAAACTTCACCAGTACTATCCGTTGTTGCCGTTCGTCGACGCATATTGTTCGTTGATGATGTCAACAATAGAAAAACACCGTCAACATCTTTGATTTGAGCAAGAATCGAAGCTAATTTTTCTGTTTTGAAATCATATGCTGATGATGCAGATTTTCGTGTAAAGACATGGCCTGTTTTTTGAATAACAACATGATACGATGGATCATTTGATAATGGACCAAATGTATAAGTACCATCCGATTTTGTCCAAGTGGATAAAAGAAGATTCATTGGTTGACCATCGATATCAATTGTTTGATCAGTTTTTGTTTTATCTGTTGCAATTGTATATAAAGAGACATTTGCATCGGGAACCACTGGATCTGTTGAACCACTAATGAATAATCCACGGCGCGCGACAAATTTGACTTGATTAGCTTGACAATTATCCGAAGAAATGGCAATTATTTGATGATCAGGTTCAAATAACCAAACTTCAGATTGAGGAAAGATTGCAAATTGTTCACCATTTCTACATAAAACTGAGTGAATTTTCAAAAGCGAACTTCAAAATGGATTACTTTGCCCAAAATGATCCACTCCATTTATTTTTCTCTTTTTGTAAATCAAGTGTCACTTCACTATTTTGTTTCGAATTTCTAAATCATATCAAAACTCGTTCTTAACATCTCCGAATCACAATTTGACAAATTCAAACCTGATAAGAACGGGAAATGTTGTTGTACTTTGATCATCATTGTCCGATTGAATCGATACGAACACTTGATATTCACTCGGAATCAATTCAATAGGCGTGAGAGACGAAGCTTTCGATGTATCATAAGAATATTTCTCTTTTTCGAATTTCATACAACTCGATGGAATTAATTCATAAACGCCATGATTCGGCAAACAAACTTCATTCAATCCTGACAATAGATCAATTGTATTTGTATAGAAATTCTCTTTGACTTGGTTGATTTTCTATTTGATATAAAGAAAAGTATTTTTCGATATGTGACAATCAGTTTTAACTTACTAAAGTAACTTTATTCGTCGTTTGGAGATGAATACGAAGTTTGAAACCAATTTGTTCGAATCGAATTGTTTTATTTGCATTGGAGAGATCGACATCGAGTTGAGATTCTTTCCAACAATATTTATCCGTTTGTTTGGACTTAATCAACGAAACTGAAATATCAAAGAAAGCAATTTGAACATGATTTTCTTCGATTTTTCACATTACCTGAATATTTTCCTGGAAGAAGATTATCTTGTTCGAAATGAATTTCATTTGTTTTGCTCGGATTTTTAATTAAATCAATTTTAGTCATAACACCAGATCGGGATGTTAATTCCAATTGAGAGAGATCATTTTGACAATCATCTAAACGACGAAAATATCAGTCAAATGTATCGAAATAGTTATTTTTTTTCTTTACCAATACAATGAATAACACCGTTTAATTTCGCTTTTAGTTGAGAAAAATTGATTTGATCGATTGGAGAACCATGTGAAACATCAACATCGATCACCTCAGGAGTTAAATGAACTCCGGAACGAACATCAACATCAGATAATTCAGGCTAAAAAGACAGAAAACAAAACCGTTGGAAACAAATTTTCATTTAGTCTTTACGGAAAATGTGTAGATTCCAGGCGGAATATAGATCGAATATTCAGTATTTGGTTCGACTTCGAAACGCTGAACGAGTTTTTTCTCGGCATCTGTATATCGAATTGTTTGTTTTCGTGTTGATGAACATTGAACACGGCCAGTAACACGAACCCTAAATCAAACATTTACTATTTTGAATTTCACAATCGATCGATCGTTTACTTTTCCGGCGAAAGAACAAGTGGTGTTGAAGTGTCACCGATTCCGATCAAACGATTCAAATTGATCGTATGTGTAATTTCTTTGAATGTATATCCATCTAAGTCGCTTTTGATTTTGATTGTTCCACTTGGACGAATATGTTTCAATTTAAACAAACCGTTCGCATCGGTTTGGCAACACGGTTTACCATCGATAGAGATTTGAGCATTGGCCAACGGAATTAACTTATCCTAAATGATGAATATGAATCAAGAATGAGAAAACAAAAGTACGAACGGTTTTAGTTGATTTAACAACACGACCATGAAAGGAAATTGTTCCGGTTTCGAACGGCGTTTCGACGGAAAAATCTTTATGTGTAATTGTAATCGCTTTTTGATCAGGGATAAACACAATATCTAGTGATGGTGTTGAATAGATGGGTAACTATTTAAAAGAACAAGGCAAACTCAGAATCGGCAAGAGAATATGCAAAATGGACATACGACTATGTAAAGGCCAATAGGTACATCATCGAATATATATTCTCCTTTGACATTCGTGCGTGTACGACAAACGAAATTTTGTGGATTGACTGTAGGTGGTAAAAGATTAAGTTCGTTCTTATTTAATGGACCATCATTGGAACATGTTGGTGCTGGAAGATTGTCACTTGATGAAGAACGAAAAAGTAAAACATCTATCGATATCAATGGTGATGCTTGATGAAGCACAGCTCCCTAAACAGTTTACAATCAAAAATTGAGGTGTTCGTTCACGGAATACGTACTTTAAGTGTGTAACCACGAACAACAATCGGTTGTTCGATTTCCCAACGTTCTTTTGACAAAAGTAAACGATCGATCGATTGTGAAATTCAAAATAGTAAATGTTTGATTTAGGGTTCGTGTTACTGGCCGTGTTCAATGTTCATCAACACGAAAACAAAC